AGAGCTCATGGGTTAAGATTAGAGAGCAGATCAATAGGGGTGACACTATATCGGGTCTGTACTACAGACCACCTGAACAGGAAGAAGTAGATAAGGCCTTCAGACAACTGGGAGGTGCTTCATATTTACAGGTCCTGGTCCTTGTGAGGTACCTCAGCTGTCTCAGTATCTGGTAGAAGAAGCAACACAGCAGGGCACAGGCAACCCAGGAGGTTTCTGGAATGCATTGATGACCACTTGCTAACACAGGTGATCAAGGAGCTAATGAAGGAATGCATTATGCTGGACCTTGCACTTAGAAGCAACAAAGAATTGGTTAGGACATGAAGACGGGGGGGGCAGCCTTGGCTGCAGTGGCCATGGGATGGTGGCATTCAGGATCCCGAGAAGGAGCAAGGGAAAAATCAGGATCACAACCCTGGACTGGTTAACCCCATTTTGAATAGGGAGTTAAGCTAGACGATTCTGTAGTGACCTTAATCTGTCACAAGTTGTCCTGGTTTGGGCTGAAATAGAGTAAATATCCCTTTTTGGGAACTAGAAGAGTGCTGTGGTTTGGATTTAGCTTTGGGTTTGGTATGAGAAGAATGCTGATAGCACACTGATGTTTTCAGCTACTACTGAGACTTCAAGGACTCTCCGACTCCCCATGTCCTGCCCGTGCACAGGGGCACAGGGAGCAGGGAGGGAGCACGGCCAGAGCACCTGACCCAAATTAGCCAACAAAATATTCCGTATCATGGGATGTCATGCCCACTGTGGGGTGGTCGGGAAGGGGCGCGCTCTCTCTCTCTCTCCCCCCAGGATTGTGATTGTGGAATCTTGGTATTTTGGGGTTGCTGGCTGGGAACGGGCTGGGTATTGGTCAGTGGGAGGTGAGCAATTGCACTGTGCATTGCCCGTTTATATTTTCTGTTGTTGTCATTGTTTCCATTTTATTACCATTATTAAACTGTTCCTATCTCAGCCTGCGAGTCTCCTTTTACCCCTCCAATTCCCTCCCCCATTCCCAGGTGGGGAGGGGGAAGGGTAGGTGACCAGCTGCGGTGTTTGGCTGCCGACCAGGCTCAAACCAGGACACAAGCGACTGCCCAGATTTAGAAGTATATATGCCTGATCCCTTTGCATCTCTTCCTGCAGTTCACTTATGCTGGCTGTAGTGTTCTTGTAGCTGTGTAGGGAGGTCTTTTTGGGGAATTTATCCGTTTAGCCCTAATCCATCAGAGAACAAAGCTAAACATGAAAGTATACAGTATAGCTGAGGTAATATAGTAGCTTGTTTTCTCTAGAAGGGCAATGCCCCTTTCCCCTGGCTCTTAGCATCTGGTGCTTACCCTGTACTAACTCTGGCAGATCCACTTCATAAGCTGACTCAGTACATAAAGCTGGCAGAAAGCTAACCTAGCAAAAAGCAGACAGTTTTCTGCTGGGGTAATGAGTTGAATTAGCTTAGTGAGGCTCTAATGAGGGCTAGGTTAATAGTCCCTCTGCTCTTTCCCATGCTGTTCTATCCCTTTTATGTACCCTTACTGTAAGTGGGGTGCTGCCCTAAGGACATAATTTATGGTCACTTAAATGCAGCAACAGTGAAGAAATACTAATCAAGACCCTGTCCAGAGCTGAAGGTCTGTGGGTTTTAAGTCTGTACCCTGTCACAAGAACAATTTGGTCTATTGAGAGCAAGTCAGGCTGATTTTTTTCTTTTTTTAGAGAAGCATTTCAACTGTCTGAAGAGGTGAGAGGGATTGTCCTCAGTACATCTTCAATCTAACTTGATCTTTGTTTCAAAGATAAGGGGTTTATATTCTTATCTGTAGAAGGAATTTCATTAGAGTGAATCTGGTATGTTCTGAATTTTTTTATCACATTCCCCACCCAGCACTACTAAGGAGAAAAGTTTTCTATAGTTGCTGTTTGAATTGGGTAGTATTGGGATCTTAAGCAGACTAAACTGAATGCATTTAGCATAACTTTTATCAAAGTTTGGTGCAGTAATGTCTATAGCAATTTACAGTAGGTAGAGCTGCTAATTTTCAAGTCAGAGCTCTATATTCCTCAGTTTTACAGTAGTCTGCTTAGACTAATTAACAGAGCAGTGACACATGACAGTGAAGAAACTGGGTAATTCTGCCAGTGTTAAGTTTTATTCCTTTTAATTTTGTCCTAGTGTCCCTAGATTGTCGTTTCAGCTAGTTTGGGGAGAGGAGAGGTGTAGCAAGGAATGGAAGCTTCTGCATCTAGTCTTTTGAGACCAGTATTAGAGGGGTTTGGTTTTTTGCCATCATAGCATGGCTGTAGGCATAAAACATGCATACAGAAAATTGCTGTAATATCACATAAACTGGATAGGATTGGCTTCAGAACAAGATAAAATAACATTTATGTAGCAATAATGTTCCTTTAAAGGGGCTCACACAAGCAAATCTGCACCAATAAATGGAGGGGGATGAATGCTTTGCTGTATGGATGGTGTTTTTTCCTTTAATAGTCAGTGTCTAGACAGCCTTGTTAGTCAAGGTAGACAAGTCTAACAATTTTAAATGCTGTATGTACTAAGGAACTGAAGTGGCTAAATCCATTGTGCGTGTTAATAATCTATTTAGACTATGTGCTAGTAGTTATGTTCCTCATGATGAAATAACACTTGTTGCTGAACATCCAGCATTCCATAAGCATATTTTCTAAGAAACACATTTAGAAAAACAGAATTAGTTGCCTAATGTAAAAAAAAAAAAAAAAAGTAGGTGGTGTCTGTATCAAGGGAATTTAGAAGTGAATAAACGGCTGAAGATAAGGTACAATTCCTTAATGTGTTGTTATCTCTGAGTAGTTTTCTTTATGGAACTGGCAAGCCATACAGTTTGGAAGATGTTTGTATCAGTTATTCTTAATATTTTTTAGCAATATTTCTCCTCAGTTAATTCATGCAATTATTTTTAAATAAAATATTGAACCTCTGATGCAGGTTATTTTGACCCTCCCTTGCATAATATTGGTTGTCACAAGCGTGTAGTGAGTCAGATCAGGGAACCAATCTGCCTAAAATCTGATCTAGCTGCATGGGGAAAAGGTGGGAAGTCTCAGTGTTTGAAGTGTTTCAAATCCTTAATATCTGTAGATGTTGTCAGAAGCAGGTCTAACTTGAATTAGTGGTGATGCTTAGTGAATGTAAGAGATTTTTAAACTCTTGGGTACTACTCTGGTTTTGTATTTAAAATTGAATTCTGGTTACCTGTGTTAAAATAGTGAACTTCTAAGTCAGCAAATTACTGATTTAAATAAACGTATTTAAAAAAAAATAATTTAGAACCAGAAAGTACATACTTTCCTGATAGAGAGCAAGCCTGACATGAGGAGTTTTAAATAACTGTTCTGCTGTTTGTTTGTGAGACAAAACAGTCCCTCCCTTCTGCAGAAAGCTATTAGTGTTTAAAACTGAGCACAGGAAACAAAAATGGAGAACACAAGCCACTGACAGCGTATGTCCAGGTAAGAGTGCTCTTTCACATAGGACAGAGCCAGAGGACAAAGCTGTTGGAGGAAAGACGATGCACCTTTTCATTAGTCTCTTCTAGTGGAAAGCAAAAGAGGGTGGTGATAGGAAGCAGTGGAAATCTTTGAGAACTGAGGCAAAACATGAAGCCCTCTGAGCCAGGGAGGGAGGGAAGTTGTCACCCTTGCAGCAGAGCCCAAACCACAGAGCTATTGCTAACCTGATGGTGACTTAATTAGAAAAGGAAAAATCCTCAGTCCAGTTTCTCGAGGGTGTATCACTGCAAGTGAATCTACGCATTTTTATTATTTTGTTCTGTATGTGCTGGTCACACAGTGATAGAGAAGCCTTAGGGAGAGATTCAAATATTGAAATTTCTTCGGTGCTATGGGGAAGATGGCATCATCAATGTGAGGACTTAATATTGCCGAATCATTAAGTTAAAACTCAGTAGATCTTGAGACATATGGAACCCACTGTGTAGGTTGCACAGCTTTTAAGTTTATTTAAAAGTCTTTCCAGTGGCCTTGTTAATGTAAGCTACATATGCAGAGATGTTCATCTAAACCTGTATTGCAGTTATTCGGAGATACTGTTCATAGCTGAGCTTCTCAAAGTTCAGAGCAGCATTGTCTCAGTGTGGGTGGGGGGTGACTTTCATATTGATCATTAGTAGACACTGAATTGACTCCTAGCAATTTATTAAAGAAAGCTGGTATCAGTAATTTATGGGCACATAAGTTAACTTCAGAGTTAATTTTATCTGTATTTAATAGTAATGCTTATTTTAACACCAAACTTGGACTTTTGATCTTGTCTTTCATTCTGTGAAACAGGGCGACTGCTTGGCTCCACCAAACTAGATTTAGCCAAAGCAGAACAAATCCTATTATTCATAGGTAGAATTCTCAGGTATAAGATAAATGTCTGAATTCTTTGAAAGTTCTATTCTGTTCAGAATGTTCTGTTCAGATTTTTGTTAAGAGTTATTTAGTAAGGATATCAAATGTCACTTTCCTGTTTTTACAAGTTGTCAGTAGGAGGTGAAGAGTACTACAGGACAAAGACCTAAAAATGGAGAGAAATAGATAATCAACAAATATCCATATCTTCAACTAATAATGATTCATAATTGAAACTTCTTAATCTGTTACATACACAAAATCAACATGCCTGGCAAACTAGGGCTTACTTTCAGACGTAGTAAGCTGATCTGTACAGGTTACCAGCATACTCAGGATCACTTACTAATTAAACTGCTACAACTAAATACGGTGACCCATAAATATGTGCTTCGCATACTACGGTGAAATGTTTAAAACAGCTGCTGATATTTGATGTTTATACAATGAGGAAACAAGTTACACATATGATATATTTTCCGCTTTCAAGTGATCACACTGATCAGTCTACTGGTCTTAAATCAGCTATAGTTGTTAAGACAAACTGTTGGCCCTAATAATGAACTTCATGTGATTTTTGTAAACGCTTATAATATTTTTATTGTAGGTAAGCAAGTGAGAACCAGACTGTCACAGGCCTTTAATCACTGGCTGAATGTTCCACAAGATAAAATACAGGTACTGGCTAATTATTTTTAAAGGGTTGTTATCTTTCTTCCAAGACTACTGATAAAAGATCATTCTCTTACATAGCATAAGTGATCAGAAATCTTAAATGCACTGATTTCTAAATATATTAAACTTTCGGGAAAACACCTTTACATCACAGTCAGAGCTTTGCAGTAACACTAAAGAAATTACTTCCATGACTTGTCTTATGTAGAATAGCTACTTGTTTCCAAGTGTGCTCAACCTTTTAAGTTGTAGATAAGCAGCTACCAGTTACCCACTTAACATAACTGTTATTAGCACTGAGTTTTAAAATACTTATAAAAGAAGCCAGACAGTTGCCTTGTAAACTACACAGTGTTTGAAAATAAAATCCTACAACTGTGATAGAATATTAAAGACAGCAGTTAAATCAACTTTATAAAGCACTTCTTGTTCTACACCTAAAACTGTGGGCTTCTTATCATACACTTGAGAGTCCTTACACTCTAATGAGAAGCATTAAACTAGGAATCCTCCTTCCTCTTTGCTTTCTGTTGGGCAAATCTGTGCAGGATTTTTGGCTGTGGCTTGTCAAATGAAAAATCATCCTCATGGTCAGACTAACAGTTTTGCTAAACAGCATATAGATTCCCTGTGTCCAAGACAATGTCAGGAATTAAAATAACCAGTTGTGGTTTATGAGATTTACCCAGCTGGTCCCTAGTGAATTTCATTAATTGTTGACAGATCTTTAGAGTTTGTGGAGGAGTCTTCTTTAGGGAGGTTTAAGAGAGGAGGCTACTTCCTAGTCCTCAAGTAGCAAAATGGTTTAAGTGAGTTAAATAATGAAGGAAGAGGCTACATTCATGTGGTAACTCTTCTGTTTTCCAACCTGTCAATATAAATTTTTAGCCAGATTTATTCTGGCTTCCAGCTAGACACATTTTACCCTTTGTGCTTAGTTACACACCCAAATAAAATGTATTATATAGCAACCTGTCTATTGTATGCGTGGGTTTAGTCTAATATCATAAATCAGAATTCAAGGCCTCTGGAGGTCATCTAGGACAACCCCATGCTTAAAGCAGGGCTTGTTCCATAGCTACTTTAGGCTTCTGGGGACCTTGCTGAGTTTTGAAAATCTGAGGGTATAGATTCTGCACCCTCTCAGGGCCTGTCTTCCTGTGCTGAACCCCTTCCATAACAAACTCTTCCATTCTGTCCAACTGGGATTTCTTAGGCTGCAGTCTGACTGTTGCCACTTGCTGTTTTCCTGAACACCTGTGACAGTATGGGTCCATCTTCTCTCATGTGCTATCATAAACTAAAGCTGCAGTGCCTCTCTGTGAATGGAAGTTACCAGTTCTACCTGTCACTTTTAAACTGACAATCATGTAACCATTATTAAAAACTTAGACCACTTGTTTTGGTTATCTTTATGAAGAAAATGGATGCATTAACGTTTCCTTTACCACTTAAACTGTTGTGATGGAACTTAATATTTTTATTCTTCAGGTCATTTGAGGACAAAACCAGGACCCTGTCATCTTTCAATCTGCATTCTGACACAATTACTACTGCTTTTGTGCATACTAATTATAATAACTTAAAGTGTTTGAAGTCTGGAGGACCACCTTGAGTCAGCTTTCTGATATCTCTTGTAATCTTAAGACATCCCAGGTGTCTAGCAGCCTGATTCATATCCAGTTATTTGTATTTCTTTTATTAAAAATCTGAATTCTGGCACTCATTATGGGACTTCTTGTTTTACCTTAGATCATTTGTCTTCATGTAGCTTGTTTAGATGATAGTTGAGGCTACTGTTCCTTGGTAGTTGATTTTACTATTGGCTGCCACCATTTCACTTTTTTCACAGCCAAGTGGTCTCTTCCCCCCACCCACTCCCCACCCTTCCTCTTACTGCATCTTTACCCATCTAATGCTGCACTGAGGCACTCAGCATGTTGAATTAGAGAACACTGGGTTTGTCAGATTAACTTTCTTCTAAGAAGGCACTGAAATAGCCAAGTAGGGGGACAAGCAAATTTTCAAGCTATTGCAGGTAAGGAGGTAGAAATCTGCATGTTGGAGTGATAGTGCAGTAGCTACTGATCAGATAGGCTGAGGTTGTGAGAAAGCATAACACTCTCTACTGGTTCTTCAGCTTTCACTATGAAGAGCAGTCTTTTCATTTCCTCAGGCTACTTCCTGTCTTCTAAAATAAACTTTTTCTGCTGTCTGAACTTTTTTTTTCCTTACTTTTCAACTCTGTCCTCTGATTTAAAGTCAGTTGGCAACAACATACTTTCAGAGGTCAAAGTAGGGCTCACTTTTAACTGGTAGATGAGTCATTACTGCTTCATAAGTAGATTGTTCTTGCAGTCATATCTTGGACAAACAATTAGATTGCTGGGTTTTGGGTTTTAATCTTTGGGACAGTGGTCATTGAACACTAGGTGGCTTGCCATTCAAGAAAGTGGTTGCAGCGAAGTTCCTCTTACTTTTTCCTACAGCACGCACCAAATAGGTCAATATTAGGTACTTGCCATTACTTAATGGTGGCCTTAGTGTTTTTTTAGAAGCAGTTGTTTTGATGAGTGTTGACTGAGTGCAATGTTTGTAGCTTGCAAGTGTAATTGGTTCATTAGCTTTAAAATCATATCTTAATCAGATGCATTTTGCAGTGAGTTTTTACAGTGTGCAGTTTCACATGCTTGAATTTATTTCCATTTAAGCAGGTGCTGACTATACCTGTTCCTTGTGTAGCAGCTGTGCAATAAAAACAGTATATAGTGTTAAAACTAAATTTCTTGTTGAATTGTCCTGCTTTGGAATTGTTAAGGTTCATTTTTAGTCAGATGTAGTCAGCTACAAGCTTGATGTTCTTAGCAGTTTGTGTACCTCAGGTGGTGTATGATACTGGTCTACCTACTGACAAGTAGTAAGTGTGTAGGAAGCTTCCCAAAAGAAGTTGTAGCCATTCCGTTTCTGCCAAGAATTTTCCAAATGATGTTTCAGAGAAAATAGTCTGTCCTTTAAGAGCTCAGTACTGAAGATAACTACACAAAGTGTAGGGAAAGAAAGATGAACTCTCCACTTACCAAAACAAGGTTTACAAGACAAATGTGTTAATGGATGATACCTGACCCTCTCAAGAACTGACTTTATGAGATTCCAGGTTAATGAATCTAAGCTTGTCCCAACATTGTGTTGCTTTGCTTCTCCTCCATGTTTCTAGTAACATTTATTACATGACTCCTGGGCAATGGTGTATTTTAGAACTGTAGCAACAATGAAGAGGAGCATGCAAGTGGAAACACTTCAAGGAGTAAGTTCACTTTGAATCTGAAAATATTACAGAAGACAGACCACATGATCTAGGACTTACAGCAAACTGTCTGATGAAGAGAATCATAAATCTGTATTAATAGTAAAAGCAAGTAGTCTAAAGGGGAACCTCTGCCATAGAAAATATCATTCTTTAAAACCTTATCCATTTTAAATAAGGCCTTAAATTAAGGTGGGAGACTTACTAACTTTCTTTTCTTGCAATAGGTTATCATTGAAGTGACAGAGATGTTGCACAATGCAAGCCTACTTGTGGACGATATTGAAGATAACTCAAAGCTACGACGGGGCTTTCCAGTGGCACACAGTATCTATGGAATTCCATCTGTAATCAACTGTGCTAATTATGTGTATTTCCTTGGCTTAGAGAAGGTTTTAACCCTCGATCATCCAGATGCTGTTAAAGTTTTTACCCGTCAACTTCTGGAACTCCATAAAGGTCAAGGCTTGGATATTTACTGGAGGGATACTTACACCTGTCCTACAGAAGCTGAATATAAAGCTATGGTACTTCAAAAGACAGGTGGTCTCTTTGGATTAGCTGTAGGCCTCATGCAGCTGTTCTCAAATTATAAAAAAGACTTAAAGCCACTTCTTAACACACTTGGCCTCTTCTTTCAAATAAGAGATGATTATGCCAACTTGCACTCCAAAGAATATAGTGAAAACAAGAGTTTCTGTGAAGACTTAACTGAGGGCAAGTTCTCATTCCCAACCATTCATGCAATTTGGTCAAGACCTGAAAGTACTCAGGTGCAAAACATTTTACGTCAAAGGACGGAGAACATAGATATAAAAAAATACTGTGTACATTACCTTGAAAATGTGGGTTCCTTTGAGTACACTCGGAGTACACTGAAAGAGCTTGAATCTGAAGCCTATAAACAAATTGAATCACTTGGGGGAAACCCTGAGCTTGTAGCACTAGTTGAACAGCTGAGCAAAATGTTCAAAGAAACTGAAAATTAAAAATTTAACTCCTGGGGGTAAATTAAAACTCTTTTGAAAATGGGAAAATAACCAGACTATCTGAGAGGTGTGATAATCAGTCTCACTTAAAACTTTTCTCTTGTGACCATGTTACAGAAATTACTCTTAAAAACAATTTTTAATTTGATATTGAAATATATACCCTATTATCTATACAGTCTTAACTGTAACTACTTACGGATCACTTTGTTAAAGCAGATATACTAGAACTGAGACAAATTTTGTATTTAAATGTGATCATCTTTACACAATCATCAGCATTATTTCAGGCCTAAAACTCATATCTTTAACCCGGCTACTGTAGGTTTCTGGCTGAAATTCTGTGTTAAGTTAAATCGGGTTGACCTGAGTGTACTGTGCATTTTCAAACAATGCTCTAGTAAACCAAAATGTACAAGATTAAATTACAAAAGAAGATACTTGCAACCACAATGCAAATAAAACTGTTGTGTGGTATTTCTAAGTTAGGCTTGTGAAGATCAGATGGATCAGCTTACTAAGTTCAAAGTGAGTATTCTGTCCAGCTTCTGGGGATATTTTCAGTGGAATGTGAATTATGAAAGATAGTGTTTTATATGCAAATAAGACTAATGTTTAGTCTGAAGTTGTAGCTTTATAAAGATTTCTAAGTACCTTAGAGAAAAGATTTTATGGCATCAGCAAAGCATAAATTTGCTGCTGATTCCAGTTCTGCAGTGAATAATTTTGATCGCCTGGTTTTAGATTTTTAAACTGAAATATTTTGCAGCCAGGGACTTAAATCTATGCATTAGAGCTTATACATGTACCTGTAAATAGCAACATAGTAAGCTGCTAGTAGAAATGGAATGGGATTCACACCAGGTAGCTTTAGTACACTGTAAGTGGTACAGGTCTCTTGAATCTTTGCTTATAACTGAGAGGGGCTTCTCCAGGAGTTGATTCATAATTCATACTGCATTCCTGTTCTGAATTACTATCTGGAGGCTTGCTATAGGTGTCTCTGGAGAGACAAGTTCTGTAATTTTTTGCTAAAACAAAGTACGGTATCTTGTTCTACAAGCTATAATGCCACTTCAGTTTTGTTAATTGCTTAAATAGTGCTTTAAAACTGTGTACACAGGCATACTGAAATAGAAGTGCAACTGAGAGAGAGATTGAGGGGGGAGGGCTGATCAGTGACAAAACCCTCTGTTCATCTATATATAGATGTATATATACAAAGGTGAACAAAACCTGAGCAGAGATGTTTGTTCCTTCTTTGCCTGGCAGTTTTGCTTTGGTGTAGGGAGGTAGTGGTTTGGATCAAAGGTAGGGCTGGTGTTATCAGCGGTGGTGCTAGCTCAAGCATACTCCCAGGAAAAAATGGCCAGAGGTACTTCGCTTCTGACAGGTAAAGGATAGTTTTATGCAGGTGTTCATTTGCTGTATCTGGAAAGTAGGGAGAGGCATGGTCTCAACCCATTGAGAAAACTGAAAGTTTGCTGTAACATCTTCTCTGGGCAGCCTTAAGATTCTTCTGAAAGTAATCAAGCATGAAGAAATTCAGGATGAATGCTCTCAGATGTTATGTAGTTATGGATGATAGCCTATCCCTTTTATCTGCATGCTGAGGAGGAGTCTGTCTGCTCTGTGGTTAGGCACTGAATAATAGCCTTTTTGCTGAAGGAACCTGGTTGCCAGGACTGAACAGCTTAAAGTTGGTGAAAGGTGTCTTTCCTTTAATGTTAATGACAGTGAATTGTAATTCCTTTTTCATTACTTGCAGTGCTTAGTAGTAAGCCTGTAAATCTTTAATATTTTATGAGAAAATACTATCTGCAGGAAAGTATAATGTCTGTTTTGTGCCATGTCTTGGGAGTTCCTAAGCGCTGTTGCAGCTGATGTTGAATGGGGGAGAGCACTGGAAAAACTTGTCAGGAGAATCTCCTAGTTTGCTGTAAAAGATATCCTTGTGCCTATTGGGATATTGTAACTGATGGATACAATGCAAAGTGCACTCAGTACCATTTCATGTCTGCTCAGTTACTGGATGTAAACAGTTTTGTGTAATCAAACTTGCTTAATGAGGTAGCTTTTATTTTTGTATAAAACTTCTCTACCATCTGAGACTTCTAAGTTGTCACTTCTTTGGGTCATTCTGGCAACTCACACAATTAGTATTGTTCTAATACTATATCTTGTAGAATGTGCCTGCATTAACTTAGGAGTAAATACACTGGAAGTTTTCTATCTGTAGGCCCTTTGAACTGCAAATGGATGAGAAGGGAAAAGTATCCCGGGAAAAGAAAGCTGGTCCAACAAGAAACCATACAGACTTACTGTTCTACCTTCGAGGCTTTTGATACAGGTATTCAAAGCACACCCTGAAGGTATATCTTAAAAGGGCCAGAAGCAGAGTATCATTGCTCTTCACTTTGGTTAGGACGAACTGAGGCCTCTGAGGGTTTTTCTTGATGTATTCAGGAGTCAGAAGAGGCTGGGATCTTTCCCCTTCATCTATTAAGCAGGTAGAACATCTTCAAGTATTAAGCATCACCGGTCATGATGCTTCATTGTCAAGGTGGATTTTATATTTGGTGCTATAAAATGAGACTGCATCCTCAACAATATTCTCCAACATTGGCTCTGGTTAAGACATGTTAGGAAAATCACTTCCTTAAAGCAGCATGAGAGTTCTCGTGGCTGCAGAATTAGTTTAGTTGTGTAAGTGCTGCTCTGTTGCTATGCCTCCCACAGCACAGGGAGTAGGGCTTTTTCCTGATCTTCACAAGAGATGCATTGCTGTGGAATAGAAATCTGAGTTGCAAGTGGAAATGTCTGTGGGTAAACAAAAGGGATGCTGGTTTCAATGTCAGTGTCTCTGAGACAGAACTGTTCCCCTTATCTTCCTGCCATTACCAACAAGCTCTAATTTGATCAGGTTACTAGTGCATTTCCTGGGGCTTTAGCTCTTGCAGTGTGTATCAAGAGAAATGCAAATACTCATCAGTCTCCAGCATTTCCCCCTTACTTCAATCTGTTTTCTGACTCTGTGCTTGCTTGGATGTAAATGAATGCTGTCACCTGTCTTTGAGTGGCCAGCCCTTGGATGGGACATCTGTCTCTGCTTCCTGAAAGGCTGATGTTATCCCCATCAATTATAGTGAAAATTGCATCATCTCAGGACCTTCCTGAGGAGATTGTCTTCCGCCTCTCCCTTTAAGCTCAGACTGCTCAGGTACCCACTAAGAGCAACTTTTTCTGTATCAGCCAGTTGTTGATACAAACAGCCTGAAAAATGGCAATGCAAGGTAGCTGTTGATAATTCTTTATGCTTTCAACTTTATGGTTGATTTTGCTAATTATTAAATATCTAAATGCCTCCATGTGATGTGGAAATTTCCTACATTAATGGCTTCTTTCCCCAGTTACTGTTAAAATGCTAACGTGGTGTAAAAACACAGGATTTGTGTGGCTTGGGGGGTTTTTTGCACCTTCTTATATAAAACTGGTTTGAACTCTAATACGTCTCTAGCACTGAATTGGGCCAGGCTTTTATTCAGGCACAAGAGCTATATAGGCATCTGTTGCTCTTCTTTGTTCTGTCTTATCACTTTGTTTCAGGTTTGATATTTACTATGTTCTTTGTATTATTGATCAGTACTTTAATTGTAATTCTGATCTTGGCTATATTTCTATTCTGTTAATAATACCATAGCACACACAATACCATCAAACTCTTTTTTGACCCTGGACAAACAAAATAGTTTGGGTCTGTTCTTGAAACGTTAAATCTTGGCTGCTCATACACCTTCACAAAAGTAATCCAAGATTTTCTTCAATCTTTAAATGCCTGAAACTTTTTTGCCAAGAAGCTAAAGCCTGTAACGTATTTTATATTGCCATAAATTATTTTTGTCTCGTATATCTTGAGCTCCTTTCCCTCTCCTACCCATTTGCTTTCAACACCTATTTTGCTTTGGTGATAATGCTTGTTAGGCCTTTTTGTGAAAGAATTTAGCTCACTAGCCCTGGGGGAGAGAAGTTAATTTTTGTCTGGGTTAATGAATTATCCCACTCAGCAAGAGCCTGATGCATGTCAGAGCTGGCAGGTAGACAGAGGCAAGAGTAGAGCCAGAGAAAGGATTTGAGAGAAAAAGAAAACACATTTTAGGCTCCTAAGGCTGCCTCATATATTTTCACCTTGGTTTACAGCATCACCTTCTCTTTGTTAGGTAAAGGCTAAAGAGTGTGGTCAGTTTCCCTGACCTTCCCTTTGTGCTTTCCAAATATAATGTAAGAGATATTAAAGTTAAAAATTATTTATTCTGATGGTTATATAAAGACTGACCCTGATGTGAAGGGAAATCGTAGATAATTTTCTGCTTTTGAACTCCATGAAAATATTCCCTTCTCTGTTGGTTTGTGAATCATATGTTGTCACTAAGCAGTTGCATCTTTTCTTGATCACAGTAGATTATTTTCACTTTCCCATAATGTTTGAGTTGCTATTTCTGGAGCATATGGTATAAATTACTTAATCCCTCAGTAAAGTAATTATTGAAGTCTGTAAAGAGGACAAATGGCAAACACCCATTTTTTGGTTGTGCTGTTTTGAAATACACATAAAAACTGAGCTGTTCTCTTGCTGTAATCTGGTATATGTTTTTCTGCAGTTAACTTCTGTTAACTGAAGGAGGCATAACAACTTTTCACCAACTTAAGTTATTAAAATCAGTCTGACACCAAGGCCATGTGAACAAATTAAAAGAAAAAAAAAGTGTTTACAAGGAAAAACCACAACGTTCTTTAACAGCAGTATCTCAGATAATTGCAGTGTTAATACATGAAGCATGGAGCAAATTCCTGCAATTTTTCTATGGCTTTAACTAAAGAACCTATTGCTACTTTTACTTTCTTCTTTCTGAGGGCAGGATGGAGGGTGTACAGGTAAAAGTAAAAACCGTATGGAGGAATTGTCATTGCTATTCCCAGAAATGTAAAAGCTGCTATAAACATTATCTCTTATATTTTAAACCAACCGAAATGAATGTTCAATAAATTCTGAAGTTAAATCTGTTTTTACTTAGGTGCTTATAAAATGCAGAAGCTGCAATCCTAGGTAATGAGATTAAAATGTTAAATTGATTTAGTTACCTTATTGGCATTGGGACTATCCTGTTTCTTGGCAAGTATGTTGGATGAAATATAGCTGTTTGATTAAACACAGAGGAAACAAAAGAAATAGAATAAACAGTTATGCTATTCTCATTATCATTTTAGAAGTACTAAATAAATAAATATGACATGCATGTAATTTCTGAGAGTAGCTGAATAACCTATCAAACATGCCGCTGGGGTCAGAAAGATAGTGAAAAGTATTTTCTTGTTTTCAACACCTTTCCTGACACATAGTCAAATGGAGCATGCTCTCAGGTTTGTACTCCAAAACAGTGAATGAGTCGGGAAAGAAGAGCAAGAGGGCTTATTGCCATTGTTTCTGTGCATCATTTAAAACTGGAACAGATTGTTCGAAGGGTGCCCTCTGTGGGAAATGAAGGGGCTCAGAGACCCAGATGAGACAGCAGCACCACCAAAGGCATGGAAGGAGGACTATGGTAACTATTTTTTTTCCTCAAATAAATTAGTGGACCTAAGAAAGCACATTACCTTTGGCAAAGGAAGGCTCTAAGACACCAAGATCCTTACTGGAGTGCTCCTTGGGAGAGCTGCTGTTTTATGTCAGGCAGTAAAACATGCCCTCAGAGCCTGTTCTTGAAGATATAAGCCATCAGCATGCCAAAGAATTTGCATATTCACATTACTTTGGTTGGAATATACCAGTGTTACCAAATATCTGTGCTTGATTTCTGTAATCAATATCACAGAATCAAAGAGTACTATATGCTGCCTGCCAAATAGTGCATGAAGTTATTCACTGTAATAGCAGCAGAAGCACAACACTGAAATAGCTTCTTGCTTATTGTTGTGATTGTTTGTCTTTGTGGTCCCAAGATTTTAATTATATTGTTTGAATTAAGTTATGAGACTGAACTATGAAGCACATCAGAGATGAATAAATGTGGAAAATGTCAACTAGGACACTTTGATTTTATAACCACAGACCTGTGTGAATGAGACTAGATCTTGTCGTACCTGTCTATGCAACCAGAGAACTCTCACTAAACAGCTGTGCCCCTGCAATTGCTACTTAAAGAATTCAGTTAAGCCTGAGTTTTTGCTGTTAATCTACACACATTGGACACCTTGATTTTTTTTTTTTTTTTTTTTTTTACACTGTGTTCTCTAATTGTTACAGCTTTTCTCTGGATCTTCTTCCAGTTAATTGGTATTTTTCCCAAATAGTGGATGTTGAAATAAATGCAGCAACAGCTGTAGCAGTGCCTAGTGCTGAGATAATACAACTTCTCTGCTGCATTTGCTTATGTAAAACCAAGCAGCACACTAGTTTCCCCGGCCAGGGGAACTCTCTGCTGCTCAGTGAGGCACTCGCCATCTCCAGCGTTGCTGTCTTCCCAGAGAGTGCCCCAACCTTTAAATGTGGCCTTACTGCCTTGGTTCAACATGCAACTTGCATTTAGGCAGAAAAATGCATATTGCTTGCTTCTAAATGTGATAAGCAAGTCTGATTTCACTCCTGTAAATTGAAGAAGCTGGTGGTCTGACGCCAAAGAGGCCCAGCCAGCATTGCCTGGCACGGGCCCTGTGAACCTGTGCTGCTCCATGCTGAATCAGCCACGAGCTGAATCGGTTTAATAGCATCTTGCTCGATATCAGACGAACGGCCGTATGGCTTGTCTACCACCCGCTGCTTTAAAATATTAACACGGCAGCAGTTTCCCAGGGGAACATCCCTGCCTCTTTACAAGCTCACCGCAAATGTGCGGCTACTCGTAGGCTGGCTGAGGCCCCCCCGGCGCTCCGCCCTGGGCGGGGGAATCCCCTCAGCTACGGCCGGCCCTCCCCGCGCAGCCCCCCCTCACAGCCCCGCCCGGGCGGCCTTCAGGTAGGGCTGGGTGTCGCACGCCGTGCTCGCCCCACAGCATGCTGGGAGTTGTAGTCCAGGATCAGCAAGGCCCTGCGGTGTGGCCGCCTCGGCGAACTGCATTACCCAGAAGGCTCTGCGACAGCGACGCTCTGCGTCGATTGGCCGTGAAGGCGGCGATTTGAGGGGGGAGGTCAAAGACGGGGGTAGGCCAATAGCGGCTAAGCTAAGGCGGCACTGAGGGGCTTGGGGCCAATGGGAGCGCGTCGGTAGGCCAGGCGAGGCGGGGTGACAACTGTCAGTCTGCGCAGGGCGGAAGACGGGTCCGGTAGTGCCCGGGGCTGTGGGTGTCGGCGGTTCGTCCCCAGGTGCGGGTGTGAGGAGGGTGGGCCCGGCCCGGGGAGTAGCTGCTCTCCGCCTGCGGCTGCTTCGCCCTCGGCCAACCGATGGTGCTTAACCCTAACGCCTTCCCGAGCCTCGCGCGGTAACGGTCCCTCGCGGGGCGGGGGCCGGCTGCCTGGACTCTCGCTGGCAGCGCTGTGGCGGGGCGGGCCCGCCGCCATCCCCGGGCGGTTTGCGCTCTGTGCCTTGAAAGCACAGGCCCCAGGGGCTGCTCCGTAACGGGGGTCGCTCCCGAGGAGGTAGAGGGGGGCTTATGGAAGCGGTGACCTGGGTGTGTTAAGGGCATTGCTTCTGTCTCTGCAGGTCTGTGAGAAGCTCGGGCTTCAGTTTTTCCCAGGATGGCTGCCTGGGTGCCTGCTGATGCGCTGGGTCGCAGAATCCTGTGTGGCACAGAACGTGCAACTGTACGCTATGTTGGCAGTGTTCCTCCTACAGCAGGTAAACATCGCAATAGTAAATAACCTTTACACTTAATGGTTGTTTTCAAAATTCTAATTATGTTCTTAATGAAAAAAAGTCAGAATGTGTCAATTTACAGATTGTGTTTTTTGATGTTGTTCTTGGGTAAATATGGCAACTTCTAATGTAGATAAGTTGTTGTGTTTTTAGAAGTCAGGAGTGTAAAAAGTACTTTTGGTGATCCTAGTGCCTTCCTTTTTCCATTAGTTTTCATGAACGGTGTTCCCTGATCTCTGTGTACTGGCACAGTGTGGGAAGGAGAGAGACAGGCAGCAGCAGCAGATCAACAGACTAGGCTCTCCTTTGATAATGTATTCAGATTCATGGGGACGAATAAGACTCAGCCCAGGTTGCTGAAAGATGTGGCCAGTTTGATTGTGAGAGCACTATATGCCACATTTGAAAAATTGTGGTGACAGGATGGGGAGATCGCTGAGAGTTGGAAGGAGAGTAGCCTTGCATAGAGCTCTAGAAGAGGCAAGGAGGATGACTGGGGAACTGTAGGCTCATCAACTTCAGTTCCTGGAGAGATCATGTAGTATATTCCCCTTGGAGTCTGTTTCCAAGCCTATGAAGGGTAAGATGGTAGCTGGGAGCACTTGATAGTTGTAAAGAAAAAGTTATGACTGGCATACTTAGCTTCTGTGGTGAGATGACTGGGAATGTGGACAAAGGGAGAACAGGGGATGTAATATTCCTTGTCTTTAGTAAGTCTTAACAGTGTCTGTATAAAGAATCTTATTTGGAAGCTGGAGCAATACAAGCCAGATGAATGGACTGTTAAGTGGGTTGAAAGTCCACAGGTCTGTCAAGTGGAAAAGAGGTAATCAATTACTTGGTACCTAGTAATGCACGAGTTCTACAGAAATAAATGCTGGGGTCTGTATTGCGTAACATATTCATCAGAGTCTCAGATAATGTACAGCATTCACCCTCAACTGGCTGATGTGACAAAAGGTAGAACTGCAATCCAGAGTAAGCTTTATGAACTTTAGGTTTGGCTCTAAGAGATTGAAAAAGGATACATTTCCACACGTAGTGTTGAATAAACCCATGTATCAGTACAGATGGAGAAACATTAGCAACCCACAAGGTCTGTGGTAAAGTACCTGGGAGTTAAGGTGGGGACTGCCATGAATATGAGCCAACAGTGAGCTCTTGTCACAGGCAAGATATGTGTTGTTCTGGATTACATTAGAATGATGAACATAGTCACCAAATCCAAGGAAGCTGTTACCTTCTCTGGGAGCAGAGGTTCTTCATAAGGTGGCCATTGGAGTGATGTATCTGATTTGGGACCATCCCAATTCAAGAGGGGTGGGGATAAACTCAAGAGGATGCAGCAGAGGGCTGCCAAGATAAAGGCATAGACCACGTACTTGTGTTGTGGGAAGAGGTTGAGGGATCTGGGCTTCCTTAGTGTGGTAAAGAGAAGATTAAGTGGCATCTGATAGCTGCAAGCAAGCAGTTTGTCAGGCAGTTACAAAGATGACAGAGCCAAATTCTTCTTACTAGTATTAGCTTATATAATAAGGCACAATGGCCACAAATATTGGCCATGTTCAAATTGGACAGCAGGAAAATCTTTTTTCTCTACAGAAGCAATGGAGCATTGGAATTGGCTGCCCGGATAAGTTGGAATCTTTCTCTCCTTGGAGATTTTCAAGATCTGGCTAAGTAAAGACTTACCTGCCTGATCTGGCTTAGTGCTGGTGATAACCTCCTGCTTTGAGAGAGAAGGTTAGGCTAGATGTGCTTCAGAGGTTTCTTACAACTATGATTTCTATGGCTGTTATGCCATGCATTGTAAAATGTATCTACCATATTTTTCAGGAGTTTGGCTTGGCGTGGAATGGGATGATCCTCAGAGAGGAAAGCATGATGGTACCTATGAAGGAACACAGTATTTTAAGTGCAGGTGAGTTGATTCACAGTGTTGGCATGTCATGTGACGAAATGGTCATGGGAAAATGCCCTTTTGCAACTTCTAGGGCAAACCCTCTTGTTATCAGTTGGCTGATATTAAAAAGATAATAAATCCGAATGCTTGACTAGCTCTGCCATAAAGGCAGTTGTGTTGTTATTAATCCAGTTGCAGGGATTAGAATATGGTAAATAATTAGAAAATACAAGTCATGTTTTCAGAGGTGTGTAATCAAATGTGACTTCTGGATGTTATTAATATTACCTTTAGTAGATTTAGACCTGCTTTAGTAAGGAACTCAGTGTGTCCTACTTATGATCTGTAGGTTAATTCTGTAGTGAAATATTGGTCCATATTAACTCTCTCAACGACAGTTTAGATTTGGCTTTAAGGTGACTTGCATGTATTTTGTTACGGGAAAATACCAAGTTCCTGATAATGATTTGTGTTATATTTGTATCACTGAGGGATTGTTAAGTATCTTCCCTTGCATTTAATACATGCAAAACACAGTATAGTTGTACTTGTTTAAAGTGTATATATATGTATTACATTTAAGTTTAAAGACTTGAGCACATAACATGTTTGAGATTGGGGAATACAGGACTCTAGAGTTGATGCTAATGGCAGCAAGCTGTTGTTTTCCATGTCAGAGGACACAGCAGAAGCTAAAAGTTTGTGAGTTAAAAGAATAACTGGATGAGTTCATAGAAGAGAGGTCATCAGTGGCTCTTAAATACTAAAGGCTGCTAGTTCAGTAAGTTCCTGAGCACTGCGGTGGTGAAGGATGATAGAATATTTTGTGGCTATATCATTAGAATACTTGCTCTGTTGTCATATTTTCCCAACCATTTTCTATTGGTAGCTTTTGGAGAAAGGATGTGACATTACATGGATATTTGTTTTGATGACTGGATCACAGCCAGTCTTACCTTAATGGGATGAAATGGAGAGATTTTTAGGTCTTTTTCCACCTCTTAATTTCCAAGGTTGGTAATAACTCTAAAAGGGCAGGTTGATTACCATTTGTTTCTGACTGTTCAAGTGCTTGTTCAAGTGAAATGAATAGAATATAAATCAAATCATGTGACAGCACTGAGAATTAATAGAAGGCTTTTGAAAATATGAAAGAAGGTGACAGACCAAGAAAATAAAAGTTGTCTGTAGTCTTGCTTTTGGATGTGTTTTTGCTTTGGTTTGTTGGAAAATGTTAGAAGACTTTTCTCTGAAATTAATTCCTCATGTTAATTATCTTGAGAAAGTTAGAGCCATTGAGGAGAAGGTAAGCAAATGATCTTTTTTTTTTTTCCAACTGGCATGGAAACGAAAGTCCTAAGAGTAGCTGTATTAAGTCAGTTTCAAGATTTGTCTTGCTTAGTTTCCTGCCTCTGACACTGGCTAATAGCAGATGACTGGAGAGGTGTGAAAGAACAAGAAAAGTACACAGTGACAATTTTCCAGAGTCTCACTAGCTTTGACTAGTCATGGTTCAAAGGTTTTTTTCATAGCTAGAGGTGGTATATTTGTACATGCACTTTGTTGTGCTCCCAATGGATGATTCAGAGAGAAAATTCATTATGAGAATTTCCTCCGAAAGAATAATTAAAGGCATATAGTAACAGTGCATGTGTTTTCAGCTTGTGAAAATTGTGATAATTTCAATTTTCGTGAGTAGATGAGTCTTGTCACTTTCTCCTGTCTGAATATAGGAGTATGATATGGAAGGGACTTGGAACTGTTGCTGTAAAATGACACATAGAAGGGAAAAAAAAAAAAAAAAAGAGATATTAAAATTATGATTTCTATATTGTGGGTAAAGTAGGTCTAGTCTTGTATCTGCCAGAACGTCTTCTGGAGACAAATGGAGCTCCCTGAGGTAGCAAAGGAGGCTGCTGTATTTGTATTGAGCAGTTCAGGGCTTGTTAAAGAATATACTTAATTGTCAGTTCAGATCAAAGTTGTTCTCGAGCCAGCAAGTAGAGCCATTTGGTCTTGGACTGAAACAGCAGAAGAATTTATCTGTTAAATAATTCAAAATTAAAAAGTAGCTCTTTTTAAATCCTTTCTGGGAATACTATTTTTACCTGTAGCCAAACAGGCAAAGCAGGAAAGGGGTAGATTACGTTCAGTAGTGCAAATCAGATTTGACTTTCACAGCAAGCCAGAGAAATGGAGGGGAGTATAGTAAAGCTTGTTTCTGTAATGTTTTCAGCCTGGAAAAAATTTGATTGCTTCTCAGATCTTTGTGGCCTTTTTCCCCCCTCTTTGTGTTAAGTTTTCTTCTAGTGGGAACTTTGACTTTTGAATATTTGTGTAGTCCTGGAATGCCAAGTTATCCTGGCAAAGGCATTGCATGTTTTCAGTTTTTCCTTCTTCATTGAGGTTTATAAGCTGTGTATGGACATGTTTTCAAATTTACAGACAGCAGTTGTGACCAATCAGGTGTTACTGTTTGCATGAAATTTATGTTCCTGCCCAAAAGAAGATCTGTTTATATTAAATTAGACTCTTATCTCCTTCAAAAATGACAGTTTCACCTTCAGGAATGTCTACTTAGAGCACAAACAAACTCTTCAAATACAGGAAGATGTCAGTATCATTTTAGTGTCTATGAAGAAAAAACAATTGCTGTTTAGCAAGGGGAGAATGCATTCCCAAGATTACTTTTAGTTTCAGAAGGTCTCAGTTAGGAAGTTTTGATTGTTTCATGGTGTGTCATTGTACCCATCAGAGACTTCTGCTCTCTGCCATCAATAGAACAGTACTGAAACAAAACTTTTGTCCCTAACCACTATTCAAACCTGCCCTGTGCACCACTAGAACCTTAAGATGGCACCTGGAACTGCCGATGTCTGTCTGTCTTTCCTTGTTTTGTGAAAGCTCAGACTCAGCTTTCATGTCTGTTTGGCTAAGGTAAACTTGCAAGAACTGAAAGTACTTGCTCATGTTTGCAAAGCTTCTGCCATGCAGTCAGGAATTTGATACACCACAGCAGATTAGTCTTAGGTGTCACTTCCAAGCACTGTTTGATGCCAAGGCTGCCACAGACTGTTCTAAAACTTGAAGGGTTTTCTTCACTGCAGTGTGTAGATTCTTCTAAAAGAAGTCTGATCTCTTGAGCACCTTCCCCTAAAAGGAAGAGAACTGTTCAGAGCCTATCTAGAAAAGATGTTCAACTAGCTGTATTTTTATGACATCTTATGAGCTTTGTAGTATGTGTGGCCTGGTCGTTATGATAATTGCCTTCAGATAACCATTGCAAACAGCTGGTGCTGGGCAAAGAAGCTCTTCGGTCTGCCTTTACAATCTAGGCTGATAAAGCTGAGATCTCTCTCTTTGGCTCAGAAGCTTGCTTCTGCAGTCAGGCAGCTCAAGTGTGTAACTGTTGGCAGAATACAGTTTATGTACTACTGCGTTATTCTTCAGGTGCTAAGAAGCGTATGTGTGTGACATTTCTCTAGCATATGAAGCGCTGTCATGTACCTATAATGATGAGCAATGCCACCACTTTGTTTTAAATCAGCAAAGAAGAATGATGCCTCATTTCATCTTTATTCAGGGAAATGGTTAACCAGTGGAAGCCGACAGTTAATCTAAATTTTAATAAATATCTTTCAAGGGCCCTGGGCATGCTAGCAGGTGGGCTGTATTGCTTCAGGCTACTGAATTGTGAATAGGAAGTGTCCTACAAGCTGACTTCTGAGATTGGAGTCAATCTCTCTATTTTAAAAGTCAGTAAGAAGTGTCTGTATTAACCAGAGCCAGCTGGTTGCCAGAGCCCCATTTGGGCATATTCCAGATTTTCTGCTTAAAGAAATTGGGACATATCTTCTACCACTTCATTTCTACACAGTGTATTGTCCTGGCTGCAGGACATTTTACACACATGGGAGTAAAATCCCTGATATCAGACATCTGAATGGTCAGTTTGTCAGGTTGATCAGTAGTCAACAGGTTCTTCCACCTCATGATATGCGTGTTGGATGACTCTTTTTGGACTAGGATCTATCTGTTTAGTTCTCAGTTATGGAGACTGATTGCTAAGTGTGTGCTCTTTCATGAGTCCAGGTGCTGTACATTCGTTGTCTGATATGTACATATGGCTTGTACAGTTCATTCCCTAGTGTAAAAGTTAACACAGGCAGTGTATTTTAGGGAAAATAAGTTACAGCTGAGTGACCCCTCTCCTTGAACACACAATCATTTTGCCTGAAAATAGGTTCCTATTGCAGGCTCCTTTTCTGCCCTTTTATGTGACAGTTCTTGAAAAAGTAGATCACGTGAATAGAGTGGGACTGAAGAAGAAGCTTAGGCCTATGGAATTGAAATGACTATACATTAGGTAAGATAGTATGCGTGGTGCTTGGAAGTGATAGGAACAGGAGAGAGAAACTATTATCTTGCTACGATCAAAACAAAAAATAGAAGGGTCTTGAGAGAGAAATGCACCGTACTTTTCCTGTAGCTTCAGATGATAAGGGGCAAGGTAGCTAATTTCCTTTGCAGTTTTCCTAGGGATAGAACTGGCTCCTGCAAAGACAATGAGGAAGGAGATGCCAATAGAAATGGTGACCTGAGTGGACAGAAATGGGCTTAGGAATGGGTATGGTGATGGAGAGACCCAAAGACGTTGGCTACACCGGGGATCAGTGGCTTGACAGGAGGAGTGCAGATATGAGGGTCTAGATGAGCTCTGGTGAGAAGTCTAGGGAAAGCCAAGGAAGAAAAATAACAGAACTGTTGAGTGCAGAGGGATGGTGATGACAAAGTGGGGAGAATCAAGGTGATAGGAAAAAGGATAGGAGATACCAGAATAAGCATACAGCAGGACCTAGGATGAATTACATATGGACAAGGTAGACCAGAATACAAGTTTTCTTTCCAGAGCCCCAAGTAGAATCCTGCACTAGACTGAAAAAAAAACTAGACTGAAAATATTTTTCAAGTAAACACTATCTAGTTTCTATGCAGATCCTTCTTAAGAATACTTAAGTAAGTATTAGAAATGTTAATGAATTAAACTGGCACAGGCAATTTCCAGTACTGATTTTTTAATAAAAATGTGAATATATGGTTCCCAAGCTATTCCATCTACTTGAAATAGATCCATAGGATTCAGGGTCTCTACTGTTTTTCTGAGTGAATTTTGAGCTCTGTAGTGTTGGTGGTTTATATTATGGTTTGCTAATTAGCCACTTGATGTTTACATGCTGTTTTGAAATGAGGAGTTTTATTTACATAAGTGATTTCTTCCTCCTGGGTACTTTCCAACCAAAGTCTGTACTCTTCTCAGCTGGAAGGCAGACAGGTAATCATAACTACTGATTTTCTTCCTGCTGTTTTCTGGCTGATCCTCCGTCTGCTCTGTGATACCATTCTCACAACTTGACTCTGCCAGTTCTTTCTAGATACTCTCTTCTTGCTAACTTTGATAGAAATTGCCATGCGATAGTTTTTTCACTGCTCAAAAAAAACTAAGAAACTTCATAAGACTGTGTAGAATATACATTAGCTGGATAATTCTGTTGAATATTCAGTTTCAAAACTGTTACTGAGTTAGTATCAGAATCTTTAAAATTTGAGTTTGTGTAAGAGTTCCCAGTGGTACAGTTTGAGTCTCATGTCATTTGTGTGGATGGAAGGACAAGGCTGCATTCTCTTAGTATTACAAGTGAATTATTCAAGTCAAATATAATGCGGCAATGACTATTCTGAGTATTCCCGTGGGCCTTAGGCTGTGGTAAGACTTCAGACACATTTGTTGTACGATTTAGGTAATTGTGTGTCTATCCATAGGTAGAAACCTAATTTGCTAGAAAAACTGGATTCATAATAGGGGTGGAAACAACAGAGCAGTTATTTCTACTAATGGCAGTGGCATTGTAATTTTGATGTGTAAGTACATTTGGACATGTGATGCTTCAGTTCTCGTGGCGTCTCACAATGTGAGCTTGTTGGATCAAATACCATCAAAGATACTTTGCAAGTCTCACCTGGTCTCACTTAGTGGGAACAGTAATGTTTAAAACTAGCCTGTAGAATTGACTGCTTTCGTTCCCAGTATTTTAAAAAAGTAATAATTAGTACTTTTGAGACTAGTCATTCTTATAATAACTTTTAATATTTCACATTTTCCTGGCTGCTCTGCTCTAGGCATCCTAAAGGAGGATCGTTTATCCGGCCAAACAAGGCAAATTTTGGAGTAGATTTTCTTACTGCAGTAAAGGATCGGTATCAATTGAATGATGAGCAAGATGTTCGACATGGGACAGAGAATACATTGGTATTTGGAAAGAAGACTGTGGAATTTGTTGGCATGGATTCTGTTGCAGAACAACAAAGGCAAGTGTAATATAGGAAAATCGAAGATATGCTCTTAGCAACTGATTAGTCAAGTAATAGTTCAACTGCAAGGAAGGAAGCTGCCTGACTTGTGTCTTATACTGTAATGTCTCTAACAGTAAGCCAAACTGCATTATGGTGGAAGAGACAAGAAATCTTTTTATTGTAGCTTCATAATTTGCCTCTTTTACAGATAGGAACTGGGATTATGTCATGTTTGAGCGCTCACAACCCTCATTTGATTTCACAGAGTAGGAGGTGATGATATTTGGGGAGGAATGAGTGAGATAAATTATCGTGATATTGGCAGTCATACACATTCATGGTCCTTTTTAAATAAATGCATTTTAATATCTTCGTAATATTGTACAGTATTATTTCATCTTTGTTTACTCATACCAGTAATGACTTTAACTAAGAGAGGGAAGCCAAAAGGTCACTGTACTGCAAGTGAAAAAGTCTTTCAGTGAGTTCTGGTCATGTTCATTTATCTGGAAGGGTAAGAAAGGAAGTGACTTGATGTGTTATGGGTTGCAGTTTTAATAACCTCCAGCAGTAGAGAGGTATCAGTTCAGTAGGTGGCAGTGTCCTGAGCTGATATTCCACTACTATTCTCCCTTTGTTTCCCAGAACATACTAAGCATTTGAAAATACTCCTTTTTTGTCTTTTTGGTAAATGATACTAAAAATGTCCAAATAACTTAGAACCTCTTGGAAAACATATTACAAGAGACTGTTTAACTTGGAACCTCTAATTAAATTTGAATTTGCATAGCTACGTTTTGTCTGGTTTTTGCTTTTCTTTAGTTGGATGAGGGTCAGTTGGGGTTTTTTGGGAGGTGGGGGTTGTGGTTCAACCAGACCTATTTTGTAGTAGCAATGTAAAGGCAAAAAATAAAGATGTGTCTTGTTTTCAAGTAAGAAAAACACCGCAATGTAGCAATCTGCACATTGCTAATTTTAAAGGAGACGATATATATAAAAAGGATATTATTTAGTTGTAATAACCAGGTATTTATGTAACATACCTATTTCTGTTTGAAGATTACTTAACAGAATGCTTTTTCTCATTTAGCCAACTGAACCAACTGGTAGATATCTCTGTGCGTGAGTGTGCAGTGAGCCATGCTGGTCAGAAAGAAGAAATCAGCAGAACGTGTGCTAGTATCCTTTTTTGCTATATTGCATGATACCACAAATAAAGTACATATTTTAGCATTGCAAGTGTTCACTTCAATGAATGATACTTGTATCCTTTTACTAATAAAAAAAAAAATAAATGCTTAAAATTGCAGTTTATGTTTAGAAGATTAATGCAGTGTTTACAGAGTTGAAAAGTAGATGTCTACAATTTTAGAGAGGGAATGCCAATTGGGAATAAAAATAGAAATGTTGCCATAGGTTGCTACTGTGACTGCAATTTCAGAAGGCTCCAGCAATGTTTTGGTTTTTGTTTTTTTTTTTTTTTTAATTTAACTCTAGAATAAATAACCCCATAAAAATACCAGTGATACATTCTATTGGAACCAGAGGTGTCCAATATATAATAAATAATGTATTCAATATACTGCATGTTGTAGCAATGTTATAGAAATACAAAGCAGATACTACTTGCTCGTTTGCAAGGACTGGTAAAAGTTCCTGTCAATACAGAAATTAATCCATTTTAGGATTTGTAAAGCTAAGCTCGTTTATAAAACTATAAGCCATTTCCATACTACAAATAAAAATAATTTGCTGTAATTGAGCAGTAGTATCTCTTAGCCCAAACAAGTGTAATCTGTTTCTGTTTATTTGATTCAAAACCAAACCCTTCTTTTAATTTCTGAAGAAGAAACTTCAGATTTGAGATAAGTTGCTTTTTCTTAATGTGAAATTTCAGATATCAGGCATATAAATCTATCAAAAAATCTGATATCATCGTGGGAGACAGTAACAGCTATTGCTTCTCAAATTCAAAATCTGGAAACACTTAATATCAGGTATAAATATTAATGTTTCTGTTCCTTTGGGGTAGGGACAAAAAAGAGGCTCTTTTAGATATAGGGTCAGCTTTCTAAAGGCAACTGGATGCCTCAATACTCATTTTAATGTGAGCTAAGTTTTTTAATACTTTTTTTTTAAATCTTGTCCTTAAGTAACTCAGATGTACTGTATTTTTCAGACATTCCTTTCCAAGGAAAGACTAAAACCCTAGGAATTTAGAAGCCATGTAAAACTAAATTCTGGAGAAGTGCTTGGGACAGATGGATGTTGACTGTAGTTTTGTAAAATGAGAGAAATTGGTTGTCTGAAAAATAAAGTACATATTTCATTAAGCCATTAAACATTTACAGGAATATAGGCATTTGTCAATGTATTCTACATAAGATCTCATCATTTTTATGCAAATTGGCTTATTGGCTAGGGCAACTGGGTTATAACGCATTACAGTTTTTTACAGGGTGCTGTAGGCTCTTTCAGGCAGTTAGACTGCAGTTAAAAAAAATCACTCAGAGTACATTTATAGAAATGAGGAAGCAGAGAGTACAGAAACTTTGGTTTACAGCATTTCTGGACACCAAAAAGAATTAATTCTCTTGATTTTTAAAGCTTAGCTAGCCCCAAGGTAGAACTGATTTAACAGGTGTATGTGTCCACATTGCGTGTGTTCAGTGAGTCTGGTTTGCAGCGGGGAGATGAGCTTCACAGCAGACATAGCCAGATTTGCTGTGTGCATGTGCAGCAGGTCACACTCTCTGGATACGTGTGCGTGGGGTTTGCCTGGCACTGGCGGGGCGTGGGGATGCTGCTGGCAGGGGGACCCCTCAGAAGAAGCCAAGACCTTGAGTTGGCACTGCTGCAGGAGTTTGCAGCCTGCCAGTGAAAGCACTAGTAACACATCCTTATCACTTAAAAATCTTGCTTAGCATTTTTTACTTGGGTTTAGCAGTAGCTATCTGTTTGCCTTCTGTGTTTGCAAACTTGTTTGGGGTTTTTTTCATGAACTTAGAGGTTTTTTTCTACATCGAAAAACTGTAAAGTAAATGTATTTTCTTTTAAAGTCATTCCAAGTGTCTTAAGACTTTATCTCTGGTTTTTATTGTTGTTTATATATTGTGACTGCCCAGGCAAATCTTTATTTAGGAGCCCACTTTTGTTTAAGAATGATGCTTTACCAACAGCATCTTAACACCAAACTAAAATCTCCATAATGCTTTAACCAAACCTTAAGTATCCCAAGACCCAGTCTACTCCTGTCCTGAAACTATGCTGATAAGAGCTGTGGATCATGGTGACAGACCTAGGGGAAAAGCTCTTGTACAGTGATGACATTGGAGAAGGAGGGAGGATGTTTTTAAATAAAGCTGCAATTCAGTTGAAACAAGAAAGAATTCACAAAATAATTTCAGAATAAAGATCATTTCTAGTACACACCTATACACTGTAGCTGGCACATGCCAGAATAACTTTCTGGTGTGAACTGACACAATGGATTAAAATCTCTAAGTAGGTAGCAGCCTAAACCACTAATGTTGAGAAGCTAATTGTATAGCTGCAACTTGAGAAAGTTTGTTTTGTCGTCAAGGTTAACACCTTGACGGCTGACTCTCCAGTCGGAGTTGTTCATCTGTTTTGTAGGTCGTGCTAGTCATTGAAGGACAGCAGCAGGGCAATAGAACTGAAGGCAGAAACCCAAAATATGAGTTGGTTTGGGGGTTTTTTTGTTGTTTTTTTTTGAGAGTTGTGGAGATCTGTGTTAAGATTAGCAGCTTCCAAAGCCTTCATTGTACAGTATACACAATGTAGCTATAACAGTTGAAAGTGGTGCAAGCTAAATTGAAATAAATACCAATTTAATTTAATAAAAGTGACCTCAGTTTTTGTATTTGTTCTTATAGTTAATGTGACAAAAATGTATTTTTTACATAGTCGTAGGTGTTCCATTTTCTTTAATACTTAGCACAGAACATCTATTTACAACCTGGGTGCAATTTGTAAATCTAACTTTGCCTAGAGTGTATGTTGCTAAGATTTATTATTACCAGCATGCGTGAGAATACAGATAATTTATTTTAATTCATCTAGAATAATTTCTTCAGTTTTTCACTGCTGAGAAGTGTAGTCTAGACCAATAGATTTTCAGAAGTTATTTGTGATAAAATTGAAAAGCAAAATAGGATTGATGTTGGAATCTGGTACATATGGCTGCAAACTGAAATATTCCTAATTTGGTTTTTATTGTTTTGACCTTCTGTTTACTTTAAAAAAGAAAGACATTATTAGCAGGTAAGTCTGTTACTGAATTCTTTTATGAAGGGATGTTAGAAGAAGAGTAAAAGTGATTAGCCGTCTACCAGTTCTTTAAGAGATTGTGTAAATGGGGAAATGTAACCCCTAAGTATGTAAGTAAATATACTGAGAGATTTTTATCATAATATGCAGGTAGATCAGACCTTAGGAAAGAAGCAAAAACTTGTGTTTGGGGGTGAGTAATGAAAGCTAATTTGAAGACTACAGATTTGAGAATCTTTTAACTATTTTATAGTGGTATTTTGCTGTTGAGAGTGGATTTTACATCCTTTTGTTTTACTGGGGTCTGGATTGTCATGTAGGCTCTTTATTTGCAATCGACACTAAGGAGGTTAAGACCAAAATCTGACCTTGTTTCATTCAGTAATAATGAAAATCATTCTTTTCATGTTCAAAACTTAGGGGAGGAAAAGGGGAGGAGGAGACCATAGATTAATAAATACCCAGTCATGAAGTAGGAAAGTAAATTAGGAAAGTGTACTTCTGAATATAACTGAAAGGATATTTTATAATATTTTAAAATGTGTGACACCTTGGAAGTGACTTTTTAAATTTTTCTGTGTAAACTGTTTTTGTCTTTAATATGTAATTCTAAATTAGTGACTTAAATAAATGCAATTATTCATAATGCTAATAATTATTGGTTTTACACAGTGAAAACAAAATGAAATTTCCATCTGCATCAACTTCTGTATCCAGTGTATTTTCAAAATTGAGGATTCTGGCACTTAATCAAACTGAGATAACATGGTCAGAGGTAATAACCTTTTCCGGTTTTGTTTTTATTTATATTGTTAGGTTTTTGAGGAAAGGGAAGCACAATAAACATTTATGCATTATATTATTCTACTGAAATGTAATCATCCTTGGGAAAGGTACTGTGGTGTAACTGTATTAGTGACGCAGTAACTAACACAATTCCTCCATAGTGTAGGAAGTTATACTGACACAGACTCTAATAAGAAACATTTAACTTCATCTACACTTGTAAATTACCAAGTCAAGATAAAGCAGCTAGAGTATAGGATAACTTCATGTCCCAAAGGTTAGTGTGAATGAAAACTTTTTGTTTCCTTGTTGTTAGTAAAGGCTTATCTGTATTTTTACACATGTAATAGAACAAAAGCAAATTAAAAGAACGTATGTCATTATGACACAAAGTACTTGTTCTGGCATCTCTTTGCACCAGCAGGACATTGGCTTAGTATCTTTGTACACACAGACTACTCTTGGAATACCTGATGCCTGGTTATATGCAACACAGGTACAGCACAGAGTAAACAGAGCTCTCACTTGTTTCAGGGACTGAAGCATGCAAACATTTACTCTCTCCTAATACGATGTTTTATTAAGGGTGAAGTCCTGTTGTCAAATATGTTAGCAGCAGGCCTTTTTTCAGAGATGGAGTTTATGAAGCACATCTCAGTAGTGCTGTGTTACATAGTGGCTTGTAAATTCCAGCCCATTATTTGGATTTCTCAGGGGCAGATTTTGGATGTACTGCCTTGTGAAATTACCTGAATTTTCAGCTTTTTGCTGCCAGCCAATATCCAGTAATAGACCACTTGTCAAAACTGAGGTTTGAGTTAAGTAGAAAGAAACTTATTCACTGCAAGCAGGGCTAGAGGGGGCTCATTGCTGTAATTTTGTTTCGTGTCCGTCCAGTGTGTTCTTATACCCTCAGTGGGGTTTATGCTAGGACAGTTGATAATCCTTCCCTAACAGCAGCAGTGTGAATGGTGAAGTGAATGGAAGAATTAAATGGCTACAAACATTTTAAACGTCATCTAGTGCTCACCAGAGGAAATCTGTGTGTTGTGGTGTTTAAAATGTTGGCAGCAGCTCTGCTCCATACCAAGATGGCAGGAAGGCTGGTTGGAACCATTGCTTCAAGCAGATGAGAGCTCTCAAGGGGTAACCCCCAGGTTAGTCAGAGCAGTGTCAAATTATATAGCTTTTGCATTTGTTTTTGAAACTCTGCTCTAGCTGACAGTTCATCATAGGCGGTAAAGGCATCTGTGGTTCAGAAATACTTTTTTATAAAATTGAAATTTGTTTGATTCATTCCCTCATAAGAGGTGAAACATAAGTATGTGCTTAAAAATGATATTCCAGGGCAGCCAAACAAAAGGAAAAAAATAAAGGGACCTACCTGACAATAATATTCTGTGAACAAATCACTTGAAAATGTTACTGATTAAGCCATATGGGGAGTTACTTTGAAAAGTCAACTTTTCAAATAATATAATCCAGGCAAAAGAGAAACACAGTGATTGTCAATGGGAATATAAGCAAAGTCTGAAAATCCTAGAAATGTTTCGATTAAAATTAAAGCAATTTAATGGTGAACAGCATTTAAAAATAACTTATTACCATGTGTAAGAATATATGGCACGGGGATAGTTTTAAAAAAAAGAGAAGACTTGTGGGGTGTTTTTTATTTGTTCCTCTGTTTTGAAATATTTTTCACAGTAAAGGGACATACTTAATTACTGCAGTAATGCATAACTCCACATTTACATGCACTGAGCATCAATTTTCCAAAATGTTCTTTCATTAGTATATTATATGTATATTTCTAAATACATCTGAGATTTCTATTAATATATCAGTGAAATAGCTTATTACTGGATGCTTGTCAATTACTTGTTCAAAATATAACATATAACCTTCAAGGGGGAAAGATGTCCTGTGAAATATCTTAGAAACTACTGACTTAGTAATTTAATTAATGCATTTGAGAGTAATCGATTCATATATATGGCTCCAAAACCATTTTTTCTTATTCAGCATTTAGATCATAATGCTATAGTTGTCATTCTGTTTGCAAACTAAAATCTTATATTTCAAAAATAATCTACTATTATGCAGGCTAAAAGAGAGATCTGGGTTAGGACAGAGGTGCAGATCATGTTCCTGACACCGACAAGTAGCGCGTAGTTGGGAAAAATTATAGGCAAAGGGCAAGCATATAGTAAGAGCTTCTTAAAAGCAGTCCAGAAATCTGGGGCTTCCTGAGCTAGAGACTGTATGTCTGCATTTAATGAATATTTGTGGATTATTTCTTTCATGATTTATCTAACAGTATTAAGAACCCATTTGAAAATTTTGACATTCAATTTAATTGTGTGCCGTATGAAGAAATACCCTTCATGGGTTTTGATCTTGCTGCCTGATAATTTTATTTAATAATGCCCAACATTTTATATACAAGTAACTGAGAACAGCTATTTTCTGTTTCATAGCTTTGATGATTCTTATTAAGCTTCTTTGTGCCTTTGCCATTTACATTACTTGCTTCCTGGGATAGAGAGACTGAAACTATAGGAACATCGTGGACTTACACGGTGACAATTGTTTCTTGTCTTTATTTCTTTTGCAGTAGGTCTTGAATTTCTATTTTTCTTTTTTGATCAGCAGAGGTTATTCCACTGGCTATCTGTCCCAACCTTCCTACCAGCTAGCCACAACCAGCCCCCAATCTTTCCTGAGTATTTATTTGGTGTTAGATCTATGATCTTTTGTTTCTGTATGGAAGCTGTTTTAAGCTTGCATACAGATAATTCCTTAATTTGAGTTTCTGAGAATTGTGACGTGACTGTCATTTGGTTTTGGCAATTTTTTAGTCATTTGGTCGCTCTGTTGAACAGTCTTCTGATACTTCAGTTTTGTGCAGCTTTTCTGTTCCTTCCCTCACAACACAGGGTGTTTGTGGGGGGATCCCCAAAGGCTCTCTGGAGTGGATATGCACCTAATTTCTCTTGACTCTTCAGGCTTCTTTTCATGCTTCCTCATCACTAATAACTAGACTATTTTGGTCTGCCTTGTTGACATAGAGAAATGCCATCCAAATTACAGAGTTAAAATACTGGTGTTTCCTGCTCTTGCTCTGGAGCAGGGGAAGTTGTTATATCTGAGTTTATATGTTTACATGTGTTGTAGATACGGCAGCAGGATGGTGTTTCATATTTTTGGGGTGTGAAGCAGTTCAGCCCCAAATCATATTCCACCACTTGGAGATGTCAGTGTTAATATTTTATATTGTATATATATAATGAGACAGATTTATATATATCCAATTTTATAACTTCATACAGCTGTAACAGAATGAAGAACAGTTAATGAAAGAAGGCTTTTTGTTGTCTAGAATAGTGGACATTTATAGGAGAATCAGTTAGCTGTAGACATAACAAATCAAATGTGATTGTCCAGATCTCTGAACTCCACTGCTTTGTAACCTTAGTAGCCTCCTGTAAAAGCAGGTGATTATGCTTTCATGTAAAAGCAAGTGATTATGCTTCAGGTGATTATGCTGTGCATGTGTATGTCTGTGCTCTTGCATCTCAAAAACTTTGAATCTGCTAGTCAATTACAAACACATTTTGAAAAGAGGTGGGGGCTTCAAAATAATTTATTACCTGCAAGTTCCAAGAAAATAATAATGTAGATGGAAGAGAGAGCCCCTATAAGTTTCCTAACCAAGGAAGGAGTGTCAGAATGAGCTCACACTTCATTTGACTGAAGAATACGCACAAGAACCTCAGGAAAAAAAAAAAAATGCAACTTAGAGGCACAAATCTGTAGAAAACCGGTCAGTTCCAGTGGTTATGGGACTCCATTTGCTTAAACTGCAAAATGTTTGGCACTGTCACAATGGTGTACAAAACTAGGGTTTATGCCAGCAATTTCCATTGCTTTGTAGGAAGTGTTTCTGTTTAAAAGTTGTGTTATTTGCTGTAGATGTCTGCAAAAAATAAATCTTTATAAAGTAAAATAATAATTTTTATGTAATTTCAGGACATAAGATTGAAAACGTATCTTTGTTCAATTTGTAGCCTTTTGAACTAATTTGTTTTCTTTAGAGTACTTGAAAACTTCAGGATATGCACTGACTTAGCACAGTTCTTGGCTTTTAGTGGTTTTGTGTGCTGGCACAGCCCCATGGCAGCGAAGTCTTCAAGCTCTGATAAATTAAGACATTTTAAAAGTCTGTGAGCCCTGATAAGATGTGCAGAAGTTCCAGAACCATTAGCAGTCAAGTATACACTGCCGTTTCCTCACCTCATCATAGGGAAAACCCGATCACCACAACCCTGTTGAATAAAATGAACTCCTCAGTTTCCAGGTCAGACAGCCTGAGGGAGGGCAGCTACCAGCCTCCAGCCTGGAAGCGTAAGTCAGTCCTGTGACTGTGCAGAGCCCCTTTGATGCCATCTGTGCTGGTAGATCCATATACAGGAAAGAGCCAGCAATCTGTTTCTCTGTTTTGGAGTGGGGAGTTAGGGCTTGTTCTGAACATTGTTCAGAGGAAATCCGCATAAAGTATAATTTCTGGAATAATTTTTCCCAACTTCTGTTATATTAAATGAAGTTTTTCCTCTTAGGTTCTTCTTTGTGCTCCAGGATGGCCAGTACTTGAAGAATTGTATCTTACTTCTAATAATATTGCAGTTTTGGAAAGGTAGGATGAGTAACACAAGTCAGTCAGTCGTTTGTGACCGATGTACTGCAAAGCAGATAAAGTTACATTACTGTAAAATTTACATCACCATGACGTACATAATTATAAAATAAATGATGCAAACTTCAGGTGATGTACTTCAAAACATTTATAAATGTACACGATTATTTGCAAGCAGTTATATACGTCGAAAACTAGTGTTTTCATTTACAAATAACTTTAAATGTTCTGCATTTGTGTTTGTGTTTTTCCAATGTGGCAGGCCTGATAACGTCCTGCAGACCCTGAAGTTGCTTGACCTTTCGGACAACCAGTTACTGGATGGAAATCAGCTGCATCTAATAGCACATCTCCCCAGGTAGCTGTTAAACAGATTTGCTAGAAATTCTTTGTCCTGGATATTCATCTCCATCGTTGTTGTTGACTGAAATATGATAGTATTGATGTTGCCAGGAAGATTTATGGAATCTTGAAATAGAGGCATTTTGCCCTCTGGAGGAGAGTAACCGAATTACTTAATTGAGCTATTTTAATATTATCTTATTTTTGTTGTATCGTAAGACATTTTGAAGCTGCATGTCATTAGATTTTCATTATATACTTATGAAATGAAAGTGATTTATCACATTCCTGAATTATTTGTATATTATTATGCACAGGGTTTTACCCAGGATGACAGGACTGTAGTGTTTGTGTGGAGTGGCAGAGCAAAGGAGCTATGGAATTTGTTCCTTGGAAACACTTTTCTGACCGTGACAATGTAATGCTGGTTCAGCAGCAGCTGCACAGCTATCTCAGGGTTGTTTGAGCCTGCAGAAAGCCACTGGGCAGTCTGGAAGGTGTCGCTCCCAAGGCCAACGCACTACAGATCACTGGTGATGGATGTTGGCCATGAGAACGTTACACCCATGGTGCCTACTTATCTGTCCCTTGTAAAAAAGGCAAAACAAAGAGAGGTCGAAGGGAGGTGAACAGCTGCAGTGATAATTCTTCCATGTCTGTTATCTGCTTTTGATTATTAACTATGAGGAAGTTTACTGTTGTTACTCTACTGGTAGAAGTGTGTGGCATGTCCTCTGAACTGGCACTCCCTTTTAGATGTTTCAGACCTTTTTTGGGGTAGCTTAAAGACTTTGAAAGGCACATGCTTCAAAATTTATTATTAAAAAAAAAAAACAAAAACAAAAAAACAAACAGTATAATTATACTGCACGGGGTAAATGCATTTCCACTTTCTCAAAAGAAGGGCTGTGGTAATACCCTTTACACAGATTCTTCTGGTTTACTGTACTCTCAAGAGCAGTAACTTTGTGGTAGTTACAGGCTGGAGTTATGATTCCTTGCTTTGGGGTTACTGTCCAGGGAAAGAAGATGTGGGTTCCTTAAGCACTTCAATGACAGTGACTGGGAAATTGTGGGACTAATATGATAGTTTGGTTAATTTGTGGAATGAGTGTTTTACACTGTACACCAAAATAGCAACCATGATTTTACATAGCCACAAGCTATTTAAAAAAATGATTTGGGAAATCACACCATTTAAATCCAGGAGCCATTTTGAAAGCTTGAAATTAGTGTGTTTATTCTCTGAAAAATTTATTCCTGGAACACTGCTGAAGTCTGGGTACTGTCTGTGAAGCTGCTGTTCATTTGTATGTGATTATGCATTATGTCAAATGTTTATTAGATCTTTGGTTTAAAAAAAAAAAATAAATTGATGTAGTATTTCTTCACAAAAAACTTCCCATGCCATGTACAGTAATCATTGTATCTATCAAATTTCAGATTAGAACAGCTCATACTTAGAAACACTGGACTATATTCTATACACTTTCCTGATGCTGGATTTGGTACGTAAAAGTAGTAATTTATTTATAGCTTTATAATTCTGTTTATTTTAAGTTTTCACTGTTGTCTTGTAAATTTACTCTTTTTCCTAGGATACAAGACTAAAATGTTTCCTTCACTAAAACGCCTTGCAATAAATGACAATAAAATATCACAGGTAGGTTAGATTGTAATAGTTTCACATTTTGTAAATACATGTATCTTGTTTAAGAGTAACTTGCAATTTGCTTTTCAAAAATTTCTTTGATTGATGTGTAAGATCCTGAGGTAACTACTGAACACTTTGATCAACACAGAGGCATACTTTCAAAATTTAAAAAGATTTCTTAACAGCTCAGTTAAACACGTTTGTGGTAGCTGGTCATATCCCTCTGCTACCTTATAATTACTCTTGCAGAATTCTAATGTTCTAAAATGCTGAGTAATTTCTTGGGGTTTTTCTTTGTTTTTTTTTTTACTTAATTAAATGCAGTACAGTTTTTTCCCTAGCTAGATAAACAGGGTGACAGTTCTTGATTCCGCTGACTAAAAGAATCATTTCGGTTATGGTCATTGTACAGGAAACTCAGTGTTACTGTGTATTGTTCTGAAATTAAGTATGTTTTATGTTTCCTCAAAAGACTCTTCCCTTCCATTTCAGTGGTCATCTATCAATGAGCTTGATAAACTGCCAAGTTTGAGGTCACTGCAGTGTCACAATAACCCGTTCATGGACACGGAGAAGAACCCAGAGACCCTGAGGCAGCTAATTATTGCCAAGATAAGTCAATTGGAGGTTTTAAACAAATCTGAGGTATGTGATATTTCATCAAACTGCATGAGTCTGGGGAAAAACGTTGAATCAGTGCCTGAGGAATTGTTTATAGTTTCTCTCACGGTTACTGTTTGTTTGGGTGCAGAAGTGCAGTGCTGACGGTTCCACTACCTAGTCCATGGGGCACTCAGCAGGGCTACGAGATCCAGCCCTGTTTGTGAATGCTGCTAACTCAGCTGGGACTAGTACAAGGTGGAAGAATGAGGGTTTTTTTTTTTCAAGTGCCCAAGTAGTGTTGAAGTTGCAGGACTGTTAACAAAAAACCATACTCTGGCCGGAAAAAAAAAAAAGCAGCGTAGTTAAATTTGTTTCAGTGATTTAACACGAGCATTTGCCTTCTGTAATAGGAAACGAGCATTATCTAAACCAAATCAAACTTCCAGCAAATCTTTATCATAAGAGAGCAGAAGCAGCATCTGTTCCATAGCTACAAAAACCATCTTTGCTTAGATATTAATTTATGGATCAGTCAGTACATGGAGGTAGGGGTTGTGAGATTCTTGGTAGCATTAAAGCATCCTGAACACCTAAATAAGAGCAAGGAGTCAGTGTCATTAATTAGATTTTATTCTCTGGAAAGTTGCATAATTATATTACCTGACATTCCTGTGTCAGTACAGATCCTTCCTGCTGAAAGAAAAGGAGCAGAGCTTGATTATCGCAAAATATTTGGAAATGACTGGTTAGCAGCTGGTGGAAATTGGAACCTGGAGGAAAACAAACCAAGCGAAGAATTTCTCACTGCCCATCCCAGATACCCATCGCTTTGTCTTAGTGAGTACGAGTACAGTAAAATTAGCATTTCCTAAAGCCTCTAGCAGTTGATCAAGGCTCACGGCTGCAGCACTAGGCCTTGCAGGAGCCTATCGCTTCGTGTGCTCAGTCCCCAAGCTGCTGAGGGAACTGAGGCAGCAGCCTCACACCTGATCCAGCACCACTATGGCCTTAGGGTTGCTGTTGGGTTTTAGACTTCAAAGGGTTCATGTCTGCATGCACTTTTCTTCACACAGAATATGGTGCACCTGAAGAAGGAGAGCTGAAGGGACAACAGCCTTTGACTCTGAAAAACCAGCTTCTGAGTAAGAGGCGTGAAATGGTCAAAATCACTCCTTCTGCATTTAAGATATCTTACAAGCTTAGTGTTTCCTGGGTGTATATGGAGAACAAAAGGTTCAAAAGCCTTTGAGACATCAGTTCCAGCTTGTAATTCTGCTTCTCTGAACTGTGTGTATTGATGAGTTTAACTATCTAGATAACCTGTTTCTGTGTACTTTCTCATTTCCCCCTCAACCCAAGCCAAATGATTTTCTTAATTAAAAATTAATGGGGAATGGAGGTAATCAATACTCTATTCTGACAGGGTGAATGGCTCCTCTACAGAACACAGTTGAGATTTTAACCTTAGGAGCTGCACTGTTTTCTGATAATTTTTTTTTTTTTTATAGCTGCTTAACTTTAGGACAGTCAAGAAATAGGGGCAGCATTGGTATTTGGGGCTGTCTACATCTTTAAACTAGGTTACATCCCAGGACTTACAAATTCATTGACCTTTGTTGCCCAGTTGATAGAAGTGAACCTTTTTTACACAGTGGACAAAATAATATTGTAAAATATTGCATTCTAATGCATTTAGTTGGAAAATAGAACAAGGAATCTAGTTGGCTAGATATAACAGAAACCTTTTTTAAGAATGGATCTTTTAATCTCTGTAAAAGAATTAGGCTAATAACTTCCTTAAAACATGCTTGTACGGTGCTATTGAGATAGAGGGTCAAAAACCTGCTTTTAACTGAATGAACAGTTTCTATTCTACTCCAGTTTTTTTTAGAAAGCTAACTAGAAATTACCTAGAAGTACTTAAATATTACTTTTGACCAAAAAAAAATGTGAAGTACTAAGGAGTCTCTTTTAAAATATTTTCCCTAATTTACCAGAGATTAGTAAAAACTTGAGTATTTTCGTAAAATCAATCTTTATTTTCCAGAGCATGACTGAATGCTATCTTTGCTACTCAGATACAGGCTACATCCTCATTTGTTTAGATCGGGCTGAGCTAGGGGAAACAATTTGTAATAAAAATGGACTGCCAGAACAGGGCTTAATGTTCTTTCACTAATGCCTCGCTGTTCTTCCTTAAGGTTTGACAATTAAATGTCCAGAGAAACCTGAACAGAAGCCAGTAGAGAAAAAGCTACCAGGTAAGAAGCCTTGGCTTGTGTTTAAGTAATTGAGGTGTAGCTCCTTTCCAAATATCTGTATTAAAGAATGGCAGCAGCCACTGGCTTTGTCAGCTCCTGAAGATTTTCCCCTGAAGACACTGTCATAGAAAGAAATTGCAAAGGTAGAAATTGTTTGAAAAAGTAATTATTTTTTTGACCTTCTTACTTACGTTCAGTCCACCTTGAAGATTGAAAGTTGAGGCTTGTCTTACGACCTCTGCTGCTGGTTCATGATTTATGTATTTGAGGCAATCAGAGGCTAAGTGATACAAAATCTAATGGATGTGTTAACCAAAAAACAAGACCATGAAGTCATAAGAGCCAACTACAGTATCTAATCTAGTCTCTAATACATTAAGTTAGACATCTAATTCTGACCTGTATCAAATTGTCTTGAAGTTTTAGTGCCTGTAGTGAAACTAGAACAAATGGACTTTGTCCCAAATCAAACTGGTGTTTTGAAAAGATGTGTCAGAATGGAGTCTGAGAGAAAATACTTACTCAAGCTTTATTCTAAAATAAAAATCACATTTATTATCACAAGTTGCATAAAATCAGATAGATACAGCTTTTACAAAAATGTTTGATAGAAAAATATTTGTTTAAGTACAATGTGTGGTATTACAGGAATAACTCACTATTGCTGTGCCTTTAGATAAAGCTTCAAAAGAAGTGAAAATTCAACCAAAATATTGAGTATATCTATTGCAAACACAGGTATCACCTCTGGAACAAACTACGCTTGCTCATTCAAGATCCATTACAAAAAAATACCCCTTCATGTAACTGACTTCCTAATGTAAACCACTCTACAACCCTGCTGGCAATTTGTTTCAGACTAATTAATGTAAATACCATTTCTAAGAATGGCACTAGTTCCACAGTGACATTCATTTATTTGTGCAGGGAAAGCCAATTCCTGGTAATGAAAACTTAAAGGAACAGTTGCCAGATGCAAGTAGTCAGAACCTGACTGGTCTGTGTCCCAAAGGTCACTTAGTTTAGCATGTAAATACAAACTCAAAAAAGGTAAATTATGAAGCCATAACACTTGAATTTGGTATATGGGATCAAAGAGCTTAAGCCATAACAGCATATCCTGTCCTATCCACCAGAGATTAAGCCATTTTCAGTTTGATATTAGCAGTTATGGTTTCAGGTATGAGAGACATTTATTGCAGTGTTAGAACTGAAGCAGCAATACAGCCTTTCACTGTTGCTGTAAGCAAGCACAGCTGAAACACTAGTACTTTGCTACAGCTCAGTGGTAGCAGCATTTTTCTAACAACTTCTTTCTTTCCCCTTGACAGAGTCTATGACTATTCAGAGGGTCAAAGGATTGCTGTATCGCCTACTTAAAATTCCTGGTTCAGAACTGAAACTGTCCTATGAAAGTTCTAAAGTGAGTTAAAAATGGGTGATTCAGTAATAAAATACTGCATGCTGCTAAAGGTCAATAGCATCTTCTAAACTACTACCTAATCGAATTGATTTCACTTACAGAGGGCAGTCTTTGTGCTGTAATTTAGGACCTAATTTCATTCCTGTACTATGACAGATCCTCCCTGACTGCACGTGCCTGCCCTGTATTTGGTTTACAGGAACAGATTTCAGTTTTAAGTCTGATCAGGATTTTTTTTTTTTTTTTTCTTTGTTATTCCAGCTGGAAGGAAAAGAAGTTGAACTAGACAATGACTTAAAGCCTTTGCAGTTTTACTCAATAGAAAATGGAGACTGTGTGTTAGTACGGTGGTGAGGAGGGACTCGGGATAGACTGAAGGAAAAGCCAACACTGGGCCTGCAGAGGGTATGGACGGCCTGTGCCTGAGCACGGACGGGAGAACGCGAGTTTCACACGTGGCACCAGAGGGCTATGCAATAACACTTTCAGCTCCTAAACTTTATCAGTCTCCATGAAGCATGTGCTTTTGGCTGAACTGTCTTACTTGAGAGATACCAAACAGTGCTTAAATGCTTCAGTTAAATAAAACTCAAGGTAATGCTTTTGCCAAGATTTTATACTACCTTCCCACTGCAGGGGTGAGAATTGGTTTTACTGAACTGATTACATGATTCAGTTGTAAACTCTTTGCTTATTATAGGACAAAATTAGTGCTGCACTGAAAGAGGCTACTTCTTTTTTGTCATTTTCACCTACTTCCAAAGACCTTAAAGCAAACAAAAGTAAAACAGCAGTAACTGTAGAAGTATCTACACAGCCTTAGACTATTTAAGGTCAATATCTGACAGACCTTTATTCTACCCTACAGTGTTAACATACCACAGTATAAATAAGTTTTCAGCATACTGCAAGGCATTACTAGTTATTTTGCATTCTTCAGCATGCTGTTCCTCAATCTTATTTTACTTTCACTTGTGTACCCTCAGATTCATATCTAATTGAGCTATCGGAAATCCCTCCTAATCAGGCCAAGTTTGCAGTACTTCCAAGATTTGGTATAAGCAAACTTTGATAATATTTATCATCTAAAATGACAACGATACAAACAAACTCAACAAAAATCCTAACCCCAGCTGTCCCCAGCCCCTCAGACAGCACAGAACCTGCCACAGCAAGACATCCCAGATGCCCTGGTGCTGAGCACAGCTCGCCAGTGGATCCTGGTACAGCTCTATACTGAGTTAACTCAGTACTGCTTTAATTTACAAAAGACAGGCTAGTTGGCATTCTTATGTGCATTTATTAATTACAAGTAGGTCTTTGACTTTATATAAAAAGGAAATTTATCTTAAACATTTTGGTTTTTGTCAGATCAACACCTATACTATAGAAAATTAATAGTATCAGTCCACTTATTATCAAAAGGGATGTGCAAATATTGTTATACTTTAGTTGAAACCCAACACTAAAAGATACCTTAATATTCCTTACTGTTCCAAGAATGAATCCAAATGTACACTTTTCCATGACTGTTATACACCACCCTGTTTTCCAAGGCAAGTCCATCATCTTTCCTCACATCTACAAGGATCTCCACACAGTTCCTTTAATCTCCAGAGCTCTCTCAGTTCCTGTGGAGAATACTGGGGGGAAGACAACATGCCACTCTCACATGTCTTCTCACACAACCAGAGACTATCCTGTTAGAGAGAGAACCATTGCAAAAGTTTTTCATTACAAAGAATTTACTACTTGGCAATCTTTACTTCCAACAATCAGGTTTTCATTGTTTCTAGCAACAAGCTTTGCACACAGAGGTCACCAACTAGAGGTGTATGTCCCTCTGATCTGCTAGAACTAGTCAGAGAACTTGGGAGATGGGGGCTGCTGGAGGGGTGTTGGTTTGCGAGAGGTTTGTGATTTTGCTTTTAAATACATCTTAACAAGATTTTTCCTGGAATTTAATCCAATGCCTGTTTCAATTTTCTTTTTTTGAAGAAAAAACATTTCCCCTATTTTATGCTACTTGGAGGAGCAGGCATGTTCTCTTTCTATAAGATCAGAGAATTTCTTCAGACTTACTTGATAGCGCTTGGGTCCTACAGCTGCCATCCAGATGCCCATACTCACATCTTCACCCTGAGACAACACATTAAAATAAAAAAAGACAGATGTTAGCACCAGGAAAACACGAAGCATGACTCTGAAATAGAACAATTGCATCATGTACCAGCAGCAAAAAAATGGTTACTACGAAAACCTACATCTCACTGCTTTTGAGGTGTTAAACTAATCCTCCCAGCTTCCCTGTCACAGTACATTGTTCTTAAAGAAGAAAGTACAAAATCTAAGATTACAGCTCCAGAGGTTCTCAGTCCAAAACAGTTGTGCTTGGACCAAGAACAGACACAAAGTGTAGCACCCAAAACCACTGCAAAAAGCCGGCATTAACCTGGAGAACCCAACACTAACACTTGAGCCGTGTTCTTTGCAACTCATTGAGTACACATGCTGCTCCCCAGACCAGTTTAAGATAGAAAGACTGAACCAGCGCCTTACTACCTGGTATGTCTTTAATCGTTCAGAGTTGCTTGCCAGCCACTGAACAATGTCTTTGGAGATGACGTAGCCGGACCCACAAGCAAAGGCTGGGTATGCAGGACTTGGGTACTCCAGCTCTTGCCATTTCCCAGTTCGATCAACTGCCCAGTTTAGTCTGAAACTGAAGACCATGTTAGAGGTGAGATGTTTATACAAAGCCCTCTGTGAAACCTATGAGCACTGCTAACAACAGAGGTAACGCTGATACTAAACAGTATTAAGAGGAAGGAGTACAAGGTGATCATAATTATAGTTCCTAGCCTTATTTCTCTAGGGCACAGATCTAGTCAAACCCAATAGCTGAAAGTATAACTTCTGTTTGGTCTCAGTCTTGGGTAATAAGAGCTAGTTCTCAGAACAGAAACAAACACAACATTGACAATCAGGTCTTCAGCACGTCTGCACCCGCTGCTGCGCTTTGATCCAGGTAAGCACAAGCAACCTTGCCTGCGTTCTGTACCAGGGACAGCTGTGTCCAGCCCCCTTTGGTTAATCACCAAGGGACAAAGTCAGTGCCCCCAGCAGGCACGCAGCATTACACTGCCCGTTTTCCTGGTAAGACTAGTAGCTGCTTAAAAACCAGGAAGCAAGGCGAAGTACTGCTTTTGTATGTACCTCCTCTAAGCTGTTTCCCAATGAAACTCAGCAAAGCAAATGTTCAACGTAAGCTGCCATCACTGAATTACAAAAAAACCTTCCTGGCTGTGGTCTTCTATATGAAAGATTGTACTTACTAGTAGAGCCCTGCAGAAAGCCGGCACTGCTCTGTCTGCACAGGCTCCCCAGGCTGACTCCCATCCCCTGGCAGCATGGCATAGCTACAGCTCTAACCCCCTGCCCCATCCCACGGCACTACAGACCCTGTCCCACCACCCCGTCAGGCGCTGTCTGACGCCCTCTGGTACAAGGTGGAATACAGGGTAGATGATACTGTCCTGGTTTGGGCTGGAAGAGAGTCAATGTTTCTAGTGTAGCTATTAGAGTGCTGTGTTTTGGATTCAGTATGGGATTTGGTATGAGAAAAATGCTGATGGCACACTGATGTTTTCAGCTGTTGCTGAGATTTCAAGGACACCCCAACTCCCCCTGTCCTGCCCCTGCACAGGTGCACAAGAAGCTGGGAGGGAGCACGGCCACAGCACTGGACCCAAATTGGCCAATGAAATATTCCATATCATGTAATAATGTCATGCTCGGTATATATAGAAGAGGGGTGGCCAGGAAGGAAGGGGTTCTATCTCTCTTCCAGGATTGTGATCGCAGGATCTTGGCATTTTGGGATCGCTAGCTGGGAATGGGCTGGGTAGCAGTCAGTGGGTGGTGAGCAATCGATTGTGCATTGCCCCTTTATACTTTCTATTATTGTTTTATTTTATTGCCCTTATTAAACTGTTTTTATCTCAACCTACAAGTCTCCATTTACCCCTCCAATTCCCTCCCCCATTCCCAGGCAGGGGAGGGTGGGCAAGCAGCTGCGTGGTGTTTGGCTGCCAACAGGGTTCAAACCACAACAGTCCTTTTCACAGCAGCTTAGTCCAGTATTTGTACCCAGCATGGTCTCCATCTCTGTAGCTGGGGAGCCATCTAGCAAAATAGGTTAACAGTCACACCTTTTACCTTTTTTCCTCAGAGAATCAACCCAAGGGAGAGACCCTTTCTTCCATCTTACCCTTCTCCAAGCTACTTACCATTGTGTTTGAGAATGTTGTTGATTTTGAATATCCTTGGAATGCTGACACTAACGTGGTTGTCTTACTGCCAGGAGCCGTTATGTTCCTGAATGTGGGTCAGGTTTTATTCAGGGTTAAGCAACTATTTCTGAGTATCACTCGGAGATCTGCCCCAAGGTTGGAGAGTTACGAGTGGCTGGGGGTGTGGGATAGCATGGGCAAGTACCTTCAAGCCCCGGGAAAGGCCCTGCTTTACACGCCTCTCACTTGACAAGTACTTGGTGCACTCACAGTGAAGTGGCATAATTATGTCAATACAGCAGGTTCTCCCCCTTTTTGCAAACGGGTTCAAGCGTTGCTGAATTCAGCCGTCAGCACAAGCAGCTAAAAGCTTTAGTGAGCCACTAAGAATTATCACCTCAGACAAGAGCCCCGTAAGGGAGGAATTAGTTGAGTGGCAGATCCCTTATCAGACCCTACACATTCGCAGCTGAAGCTGACATGTTAAAGCACCAAGTGGATAAAAGTCACATCGGATACCTGAATTCACTTTAGACTCGGTACCTTTCACCCTAGCAAGTCACAGTAGGAAGGGTACAACCCTCTCCAGACTGAGGGGCACCTGCTTTGCCAATCATTTCATACTTCTGTGGTGATTTCCATGTTGTTCACTACACCTCACACTTGCCTTACCTGAAGACTCTGTTAGAGAATTTACACTTAGAGATGTCACCCCCACATAAAGTTTTCCACAGGCATACAGAAAAGATGACATTTTCTCCAACTCTTCTCTCCCAGCACTTGTTACTTCCCAATACCTTAACACACCATTTCTACAGCAAGACTCGGCAAAACTAGTTTTTCAGTCAGCAGAAGGAGGCATTTTCTATCCTCTTAGATTCATTCAATGGCTATTCTATGGCAAACCTAGAAATAAGTTACTAGAACACGAAGCACATTACACAACAGCATATCTTACACCCCAGGAAAAGGGGAGGTTCATATTACAAACAAAACACATCTTCATGGAAAACTTCAAGTATCTGAAGTCTCTTTTTGGCCTAATTAAGGTCAAGAAAAGGTGCTATTCTGAACTCCCACTGCTTTCCACAACACGCTGGATGAACCAACTTCAGTGAACTGCCTTTTTGTTTACACATTAGTATTAGATTCAGTGTCCCCTCAGAAACAGCTCGGTATATTCCACCCCTTCATAAATCTAGGCAGTTGCAGATAGATCCATGATCTGTCAGACATCTCTCATGCCTGAGGGGCATTTTGACTTTTGACAGCAGTTTTAAAAGAATAGAATAGCAGTAACTGAAGAGAAGTATGTTCTCTCCAAGATGAGCCGAAGTTCTGAAGTAGGATACCCGGACCATTTGTTTTTCCAACCAAGATCATACTCCAGCAGAGCTTTCCCTACATCAGCTGGAACAGCAGTCCAGACAGCTTATACATAGTGCTATTTTTCCTTTTGCAAGTTGGTTTCCACCTTGTCATCAAGCTCCAGACCTTTTACACTGCTAGAATGAACCTATCTTACATTCACTATTAGCCTTGCCTTGTGATAAAGGTAGTCCCAAGAAAATTTAACAGGCACCAGGCCATCGGGTTTTGTACAGGCTAAAGAACACATGCCCATCACTCCGATCTTTGAGATCATCACAAGACTGCCAGGTATTCCACACCCTTCCGTGCAGCTTATTAAATGACCTTACGAGTAAGCAACAGTCAGTACCATATTTGTTGAAGCAAGACACCTCTAGCTGCAAAGGCCAGCTTTTCTTCAGTAAACAGATGGCAACAGGAAGACGCATCGTGCTGGTGTGCTATCCTGAATGGTACAGCAGCACAGCATTTCTGCTACACTGGATGTTATACCAGCGTAGCAATGTGTTCCAGGGATGGAAGGGAAGAGATGGGCTATTTTGACCCTACTATTTTTCATAATTATTCACAAGTGTAATTCAGCTTCACTCAAGAATTCATGAATCCGATCTACAATTTCAAACAGCAGCAAAATGGATAGCAATGCCTACTATTCACAGACTTCAAAATTAAGTGCAGATTATAAAGGCAATTTTGTGTCTCCCGTTTACTCCATTTCCGCAAGCCCACCAGAAAAATCACAGCAGCTTCAAAAAAAGTAATGTTTACAATCCTAATATGTACTTGCCTTTTAACTTTGCTGTACTGCTGGATGCTTTTATTTACCTAAGTAGCATGACAAAGCCACATACAACACATTTTGAAAGGTAAGATATTCAGCAAGTTCAATTCATCGTAAAGGCACACTCTGGAAAGCTATTGCAAAGGACTGATTTCTGTATTCTGAGATTCAAAGATCTACAGCTACAAGTAGTCCTGCTTTTCGTAAGTAGCTTCCAGAAGCAGAAAAGGGGAACCCACATGAAAACAGACTTAAAGCACTAAAGGCATGGTCCCTCTTAAAGACAAGTTTAAAAAAGCAACTCACTTTCCCCACCAAATGTTTGGCCTGTCCAATTTTTTCTGCATTATCCTGTTAAAAACAGCCTCCAAATCAATGTAACAGTCATCATCCGTCTTCAGCAACAAATCAAAACTCGTTGATTCAACTGTCCTGTAGCCAAAAAGAAAAGTGATGAGATGCTGAGCTGCAGCCCACAAAGTACAGTTACACAACAGAACACTAGGTAAGGATTTTGGGGAAGCAGAGGGGGAAGGAAGAGGGAGGGAATGTCTTTTCTACCCTTGACTTAAATGTTTTTCTTATTGACCAAGGCTGACTTCTTGTCATGCAGAAAGGAGATGCAGCTGCCTCCTATGATGATCTTACAGCACGGATTTGTGCACGAGCTGAAGAAAACAAACTTGAAGTTTTGTTCTCTAGGACAGATGGTGGATTTACTAATGATTCAGTCTTAAACAGTATTGACCTTAGAAGGATATGAATCCCTGCTGACGACAGCAGCACAGCTGTTAAAAGCCAGTGGCTACATGTCAGTAGCCTACTCTTCAGAAGGAGAGTGTAAGTGCAAGGGCAATACAACTATAGAAGGTTGTAAAAAACACCTGTGGATACAACTTGGTACTTGCTCTTCCTCAGAAAAGGACTCTTCAAATATGAAAAAATTAATCTTTAACTGTCCAAAATAGTTGAATATCTGTCACTTGTAAAATAACTAAGGCAACTTAAGATTCTAGGGATTATTCCTAGGTTGATTAACAAACATTGTTTTCAAGGGTAATTTCTCTTCATAAGAAAGGCATTTCCCTTAAGCCTTTTATTACTAAATCTTGAAAAATTTGCTAACCTGTAAAAAATTATCACAAAGATCTAAGTCTTGACATTTAAGGTCTCCTTTTAGAACTGACAGCATGGTTCAGTTTTTCAATTTCTTTCATAACCAGGAAATTTGTTAAATAAGTGCACAGCCTTGCAAACTGTATTTCTTATTCCACAGCAACATCAATTAACTGAAACAGTTGTCTCAGTAATGCAAAGAATTGCAAATTAGAGGTAGTAACTTATTAGATTCACCACAGACAACGTAATACACTATGAAAACTCTTCCTCTCAACCTTCCATCCCCCTGCACACAAGCTTCCCATCCTTCCCCTCTACTCAGCACTGGTGAGGCCACATCTGAGTACAGTGCGCAGCCTTAGGCTCCTCAGTACAAGAGACACACAGACATACTGCATGCAGTGTCCAGCAAAGGGCCACCACGATGATCAAGGGACTGGAGCATCTCTCCTACAAGGAAAGGCTGAGGCTGAAGAGAAGGCTCCAGGGGTAGCTCTGTATAAATATCTGAAGGGAAGTTGTAAAGAGACAGAGCCCTTTTCAGTGGTGCCCAGTGACAGGACAAGTCAATGGCCACAAACTGAAACACTAAGTATACAAGCTGGCCAAAAGCCATCCTTTAAAAGACTAAAGCTGCTAGTTTTCAGTCAGAAACAGATTAAAAAGAAATTACAAGGAGACGTGAAGATTCTTACAGCTGGACTGTTAGAGCAGAAGCCTGTCTTGCCAGCTCATACTTAGGTGAGGCACCCAGGGTCAGCATTCAGGAACTATAGATCCTGTTAATTTACTCACTATGTGATCCCAAAATTGTGAGGGAAACACAACTTCATGAAGTAAGTCACGTAAAGGTATGTATTTCACAAACTTGTTAGATATAACATGCCAGATCACCTTGCACTACAAACAGCAACCTTCTTATGTGAAAATACCTTCTTCTCAACTTACCATCGGTAGAAATTCAGCAGTTTGGCTGGAACATTTCTGTAAGTGTCAATAACATCTACAAAAACAATATCATCATAGGTACTGCTTTCTTCCTTCAATAAAGCATCTTCTTTCTCAAGATTTTTTATGTGACTTGTAAACCTTTCTGGGCGAGTATGGAGATTTTTTAAAAGAGTATCACCTTCTGAAAGAAACAGCACCCGTCATTAAACAAAGATGCATAACTACATACGTGTTTCTCTTGGATCATACGCAACATACTGACAAAATTAATCTGAAGTGTTCAACTCATAGGATTTTCATAACTCCATTAATTAATTTTAAAATTTCCATTAAATGTTAAAAGTTACAGAACGAAGAAATATATTTTTGCATAAGGTCTGATACAGAAAATGTAAAGCAAAAAAAGCATACTCTTCAGTAATAAAAGGATTTGACCTTTTAAGGGTCTTGAATATAAAGAGCTGTCTGGGACTTCACTATTGCTGGTAGAGTAAAAAGGCTATTGTTATATATGTTTAGGAGTAATTGATATATCTAGCATAAAAAAAAAAATAAACTCCTAAACAAACAAAAAAATCCTGTGCTAAATATAATCAAATTGACATTGCTTTGATGTAGCATAGGTGGTCCCTGCTGAACCACATCACATAACTGACTGCAGGTAAAAGCTAAAAAAACATTGCAACAATACTGAGCTTCTTGGTAAGAAGATAGTGTGTGGTACTGAAGAACTTTTCGACAAGCAGGATGAAAGGGATTTAGCACACCTCAGTTCAGGCTCCTGAACAGATGCCAACAGGACTGCCCAATTATATCTGCCAGGCCTAGATCCATAAACACACGAGTAATGCGCTGAAATTCACTGCTTATGTTGGCTATGATGGACCAATAAGAATACACCAATTCTAGTGCTACATGGCCAGAATCTTAGACATTGGAAAAGGCTTCTATAGAGTCTCTCAACATCCTGCTGAAACAGGTGTAAAACAGCAACAACGGGGGGGGGGAAAGCAGGCTATGTTAGGTAGTCACTGCTTGTCAGTAGTTAGTATTAAACATCATGACACAGTACTTCTAACAGTAACAAGACTGGAAAAAATGGGAAATTACCAAGAAAATAGGTCATTGGACAACATTATTTAACTTAGATTTGGGTAACAAAAAAAAAAAAAAAAAGACAAGGACAGAGAAGAGAGTCTAGATAAAAATGGTAATAAAAAGACAAAGGGATGCAAGTCAGTTGGGGTGGCTGACAAAGGGCAAGCAAAGAAACCACATCAGGACACTGACATTAGGCATAAAAAACAACAGAAATAAATTAATTGTTTCTACTAAAAGAAAACTTAAGGTGATCAAGTTCATAGAGATAGCACAAATTTCACCTCAGAAATGTAATTTAAAGTTCCTGTTTTATCATAACATCAAATGGGATACTACATTTTGCAGACTTACCTTGAATAGTGTAGATAAAACCACCTGCTATTCCCTCCACACCTTCTGTGAGTTCATGTGGCAGTGACCCTTCCCCTGCCTGCTAGAGACAGATTAATGGAAAAAAATAAATCAGTTCGTCCCTCATTCCTGATGTGTTTTCCCCTACAATTTTAAGGTGTGAAGTTTTCTGGCAACTGAGAAATTAATTTTAAACTCTTCTGGTTTAGGTACCTGCATAATAGAAGTCTAAGACTAAGATTTATAACTGTAAAGTTCTGTGGCATTTTTTGAAGTTTCACCTAAAACTAACAGTACCACTGAAGTTGAGAGCAAAATGCAAAGTTATCCAGGATAAATTACAACAGCACAGCATGTTTAAGCAAAGAATGTTCTGACAGGAAGACTGCCAAAAAAACCCAAAAAACAGGCTTAATCACATCAGTTGGGCTCTTAGCACAGGATTTTTGATTCACATTTTGCCATCTCTGATACACCGATACTGCCTGACACCTGACAAAGACAATAGCTGAACTTTACTCCCTTCAAAACAAAAGAAAACGCCACTTGCTAGCATCATTTTTTTGCATGCCCTTGTCTTTTTCCCAGGCAAAGCAAAATTCCTCTCTGAGACAACAGGAGAAGCCCAACTGAATTAACAACTTACAGAGAAACACAGGAAAGCAAAATGCTGAATATCCAACCCTTAAAGAAAAAACAGAAACACAGTGGAAGGGAAGGTGAGGTGGCTTACTGTAATGACTCTGAAAACACCCCCTCCATCATTCACCATCACTTTATGAAGGTTTCTTGAAACAAGGCCCTGAAGATCCTGGCTTTCCCACACAATGGTACCTTCAAAACTCTGGTAAGAGAGCAAAACACTGTTATGCAGGTGCCCAAAGACTTCAAAGGATGAAAATCAAACAGTTTGAGGTTTTTTTATTTTAAAATAGTCAACATTACACAATATATAGCTTGAACATACAACATAGATTTTTTTACTTACACTTCAATAGAAATAAGTTACACATAAAAGAAATACATCTGTGAATCTCAGTAACACTTAATCATGCTTGTAAGACTAATCAAGAATCTCTATATTAGGAACATTAAACTTTAAACAGAAGTGCAGTGTAAAAGGCTTTGGCTTTCTAACATCATTAAGATGGCATTTAAAGGTGACCCAAAGTGAATTTAAAAAAAAAAAAATCAACTATAAAAACCTGCATTACAAAGGGAATACATTAAAACAGATTTGGAAATAAGTGCTGCTTTTTAGTTATCTGACAAAACCAGAGATCAGAGACTCAGTCCTGACACCAGCAAAACTCAAAGGAAAATAGAGCCACCTTTATCCTGCCAAAGCTGTCACAAGCTACTGTAGGAGAGTCATAGAACTCTGACCTCACATCTTGGCAGGTAGGGAAAGGAGGAGCAGGACAAGTGAATATCTTCAGTTTTCTGGTTTTAACTGTCAATTCAAGTTATGTCACTCCATGGTTTATATATATACACGTGTGTGTGTGTATAAATTCTTGCATTTAAAAGCATTTAATCTCAACTTGAAACTAATCCACCTAATAGTCCAACTGTTACCCATTTTATCTAAGACTCCTGAAGATCCCTGAGAACATGCAAAGGGACAAGTGGTATGTTTTACAGGTAAGAGTACTGGTAGTATTACATTTCTGAAAAAAATTTTAAAGCAATTTCACCCTTATGACAAGGTAGTATAGAGTAGTTGTAGGGTTAATTATATTCCTGAATGCTAAATGAGTGCATTCCAGTTTGTTTCTCAATTTCATAGGAAGAACACCAAGTGTAGACCTTGGAGCAGAGAAATAACTGGTTTCAGCTCTTTGTAGGTACATCTCTGTTACTGTATAAAGTCTGTTTACTTGTATTAACCTCTCAGATCTTCCTCATTTTAGCTTCCTTGTATTCTAGAAACCTCCAGAAACTGCAGTTACTGACTCATCATTAAGTCTAGCTTGGAGTTCAGCTCAATTTTTTGCTTTTCTCTAGAAGTAGGTCTTAACATCTACAGTCTCAATATTTAATGACAGGTACGTATTTCAGAAGTCTCTCATCTATTATTTATAATGCTTTATAATCTAATAATGGAGCCAGTCAGTGTTTATTCAAGCCTGACTTGCATGCTCAATACCTTCCCCTTGCTTGTTTAATTACCTTAATTACAGTTATCAAAACAAATGGACTGCTACTAACACGTTTTCAGTGGCAGGACCCCTGAACATCCTGCACAGAAAAACCCACATGCTCAGTTTCTCTATTTGCAGTGGTTGTCATCTCCCATTCCAATGTATTTTATTGTAGGGACTAGGCTCTAATCCCCCTTCCGTGCCTTGTTTACAGACACCACCTTTGGTAAGTTGTTTAGTGAGCCTGAGAGTCCTTTCACCCCTAAGCAATCAGAAACATTAAAATTTTCACCACTCACTATTACTGATACTGACTTCAAACATGCACTAAGAGTCTTAAGCAGTTATTACCAGTGAACCTCAGTGCAAGGTGTTCTAAAGCTGCAACTATCATTATTTATCAGGTTGAGAGACTTGTAAGCAAATTTTCTAATGATTCTAGCCTTCAGCTATTCTTACTCTAAGCTGCTTAACGAAAGCTGAGGCCTGAAAATGCTTAAAGCAAAACATTAGTGGCACACCTGAGACTACATCATCTGTTTTTCTGCATTTAAATTCCAGCCTTGTTGCTGCCAGAGTGCAGTGGTATTTACAGTGAATACCGAACAGGTGTACTGACATAATGCAGCCCTGCCACACTCCTAATGTTAAACAGTGCTGTGGTTTTTGTTTCTCCAATTACTTCCCATTAGTAATACAGAGCATGCATATAGCAGAGTCCCATTTTCACAGAAGCGGCCCGTGGCTTTTTGACAAAATAAGTGCATTGCTAAAACTTGGCTGTAAGAGCCCCTGCGTGACTTGTAGTTATCTTCTAGTGGTTCTGCTCTTCTGCACTTTCAGTCATTCCAAAGCTGAATGATCAATTCTGTCTTTGACAATCTGGCTTGCCAGATGATTATTGTAATGCTGCATTTCCCTCCCTTTCCACAAGACAAGCAGAAAGAGCTACACTTCAGCTGGAAGATGAATGAAGCTCTTCAGCAGTCTGTACAATCCATTACTTCTTGAAGGTGGAAAGGCAGAGAATAGATATTGTCTCAGAAACCATCTTGTGACAATTAAACAGTTCACTAAATTTACTGCTCTCAGACAAGTAGACAGGAACACATGGCTGTTCTATCTTCTCTGAATCATCTCGTATGGCTCAGCATCATAAGTATCACAGTGTCCTGGTTTGGGCTGGAATAGAGTTAATGTTTCTTTTTGGTAACTACAATAGTGCTGTGTTTTGGCTTTAGCTTTGGGTTTGGTATGAGAAGAATGCTGATAGCACACTGACCTTTTCAGCTGCTACCGAGACTTCAAGGACTCTCCGACTCCCCATGTCCTGCCCGTGCACAGGGGCACAGGGAGCAGGGAGGGAGCACGGCCAGAGCACCTGACCCAAATTAGCCAACAAAATATTCCGTATCATGGGATGTCATGCCCACTGTGGGGTGGTCGGGAAGGGGCGCGCTCTCTCTCTCTCTCCCCCCAGGATTGTGATTGTGGATTCTTGGTATTTCGGGGTCGCTGGCCGGGAACGGGCTGGGTATTGGTCAGTGGGAGGTGAGCAATTGCACTGTGCATTGCCCGTTTATATTTTCTATTACTGCCATTGTTTTCATTTTATTACCATTATTAAACTGTTCCTATCGCAGCCTGCGAGTCTCCTTTTACCCCTCCAATTCCCTCCCCCATTCCCAGGTTGGGGGGGAGGGTGGGTGAGCGGCTGCGGGGTGCTTGGCTGCCGACCAGACTCCAACCACGACACACAGGAGACTACATGCTGTGCATACACCCTATTAATCTACATTAGAAAACATCATGTTATTCTGTAAGCACTCAGCACATGACACGTATCAGATTAAGGAAGGCTGCACAAAGAAATGTATGAATACTAATATCCTCTTTCTAAATGAAATACTTCCCATCTGCCTCTCAGGAAAAATGCAATCATTTATAGCAGAATTACAACTGCCTAGAATTTTAGTGTCTCAGAACAAAGTCTTACAGGGAAAAGGCTTACATGTTATACTACCAAATTACTGGGTAACCAATACTCTTTAAAAAAAAAGTAAAAAACCCTGAATCAATATTGATATCAAATTTGATTGTCAAAACATATGCACAAAATACTCAAGATGTCTGCTCACCCAAAAGATCTCCCGCCAGCATAACAAACTTGCAAAGTATTCAGTAAAAGCTATTTAAGTTAGTAAACCAATTAATCAGCTGCAGATTCTCCTTAAAAAGAGCAGGTTTCCAAATGCATTCATTCTTATAGAGCCAGGGGAATAAATCAGGAATTAATTAAAGTGGCCCCAAATGTCCTCTCCTCCCCCTTCAGTCTTCTCTTGATCCATTCTTCCTTAAAATTTTTTTTGCATAACAAAACAACCTAGACCCAAAGACAACTTACAGAAATAGCAGCAAGGGTCCAGTCACATAAGAGAATATTTAAATGAAGGGAAACAGCCTAAAATGGCAGCTGATGTACCCACTGAGAGACCACTGGTCCACTGGGAACAATTCCTTGTACCTGGGAGGGTCTGCTGAACTAGAATTATCATTCTGAGTCAACTTGTATTCACTAAACCTTCAATGTAACAATATCAGGTTTTTTCCTACCTACGTTCTGTTCCTTCTGTGTTTAATCACCATCCTTCCTAGGCAGGCACACGTAGGTTTTATATCCCTATACCAAAATACTAGTCTTGGACTGTACCCCCAATCCCAAAGAGGATTAAAAAAAAAAGAAAAAAAAGAAAAAAAAAAAACCAAACAAACAAACAAAAAAAAACACAAAAAGAAATATTTTAGACCCTGCCTTATTATCTTAGCTAATAGTATCTCAGGACAAGCAAGAACACTGACACTCATTACTGTCCAAAACCAGTCTTCTCCCAAATTTCTGAGGGGTGACCACTAAAAAAAAAAAAAAAAAAATGCTTTTGCCATAGGATTTTGACAGGTTTTAAAAATACAAATGTCAGCCTTCTGTGTGCCACACACTTCATCTAGTATGTTACAAAAAGACCCTACTAAAATGCTTGTTTCCTTTCACAGTTCAATGAATGAAAAAATTCCTCACTAGTGCTGTCAAAAAAGGAATAACCAAAATTCTACTAGCCCTCAGTAAGAGCTTCTCAATTACAACTATTCAACTAATACTGTAATTGCAAACAGAATACACAATATCTTGTTATGTCCAAGACATCTGAAGCAAAAACCTCTATTCCAGCTGTTCCCTAGAAATCTGTGCCATCCTCCCCTCCTGATTTTGTGTACCACTGTCTGAAAAAGCAAGAGGGATGAAGAAGTGTCACGTTCTCTGGTAGACTCTCCCACAGAATTGAAGTCGGTACAATTTTCACTCAGAAACTGAAAAGGTTTCTGAAATTGCTACTATTCATCAATGTAATTTTTAAATCAATTTTTATTTTTCAGGCTTTTGCTTTATAATTACTGGTGATAATGAGATGGTGAAAAAGAAATTCTGGATTTCAGCATATCCCCACAACTAACATTCTAGAGGTTTTCACTTGCCCTTTTCTGCCTCAAGCAAAGACTAGTTTTATCACTCTCTCCAGGTCACTTAGAGGAACTGCGGGCAGTTCAATACTGTGCGTACCTCTGGCAAAATGAACTGCTCTACTGGCTTGTACCACAGTCTGTTCACTTGCACTCCACAGCTTGGTGGACTAAAGCGAGCACTGAACAGAGCTTCCTGCGAACAACAGAAAAGGAAAACACAACAAAGCACATATTAAAAGTGCTGTGAGATCATGCAAAATTTTATCTCGGTTAGTTACAATGGAACAAGGCTTATTGGTTGTATAAAACTTAGTGAAAGTTTTATTCTCAGAACGGTCTCAGACTCCACAGAATTCAAGTGTTGGGATCGATATGGTAGAAGCAGTCAACAATAGAGCAAGAGTGCAAGTTCAACTAGAATCCAACCAACAGAGCACATCAGCTGGAAGTCCCAGACTCATCTCCTGGTTTACAGACTTCCTATCCTCTGTTTAAATAGCTGACTACTATTGATTGCAACAGAGGATGCTGAACCCTGAAAACTTAATTGCTGCTATATTACACAGCCCATCAAATGGCTCTTAGATAATAACAAATGACAAAGATCCTGCATTGCCAGTTTCACAGTCTTCAGAAAACAGTCTCCAAGCACTCCCATGATACTAATTTTTCTCCTTCACTGGCAGTAAAAAGCTAATGCAGATCAAGTTATTAGGCTCTCGACATTTCAAATTCTACCATTTAGCAAAAAAAACTGATTACAGTATACTTTGGGTTTTTTGCTATTATAAACCCAACTCTTTGGAAAATCATCATAAAAGCCATATTTTCATATCATAAAAGTATATTTTCTGTACTTAATTTTAATTATTAGCTTAAATTAAAAATTCTTTCTACTGTAGCATAGCCAGAAATCTTGAAATTGGCCTATCAAGTTATTGCTAGAGATAAATGCAATATACCAAATGCAACAAAGATGCTCAGTGATTTTTTTCCTCCAGGTTAGCACTAAGCTATTTTATCAAACCTGTAACAACTTGGGAGCGGGGGGAATCATAACTGAAGTTTGATTATTACCTGTAAATAATACCAGTTTCTAGAAATCTCAAAATGCCTTGCCAGAAGACAGACAAGAAAAAATTACAACAGCCCTGCATTTCTCTTCTTGAAGGCACAAAATGTGTCTTTCAACACGTGTTTTAAATATATTCAACAGCGTATTTTTTATTCCTTAATACCCATCAATACTTTAGAACCTCAAATGAAACCAAAATTGTGTCTTGGTATTGGATAAGTGCTCTTTCAAAAGGACATGTAAATTAACTCATAGCGCTTTGTAGACTTCATCTTTTACTCATCTGGGATGTGTGTGTGTATATCTATATATCTACCTATCTCTGAAATAAAAATTTACAATGCAACAGAAGAAAAATATAATTCATATGCTTGTCAGTTCAGTACTTCTCTTCTAAATCATCAGCATGTTGCTTTCTGTAAGAACTTAAGCCACAGTAAAGAGACAATGTGTTTTAGTCCACTTTCAGAAAATAACTGTAATACTCTACCTCATGTTCTGCCTGGTACAGTTTTACAGTGATGTTCCTCTGGAATCCCACCCCATCAGCCTCATAAAATACCCCAAGACTGGTAATGACAATGGGGTAAAGTACACGAAAGTTCACACTGACAATTCTGTCTTCAGATAGCACAGAAGGTACATCCTCAGGGAGACTGAATGCTTCAATTTCCTGATTCAAGACTGTATGAAATAGAAAGGACAGAGGTAATGTGAGAAGACTTCATAGTTCTTTAACTGGATACACAGAAAGCACACTGGACACAGGCAAAGCATTCTGATTAATTAGCACAGCTTACAAGTGCACAAGGAAAAAATCAAACACTGGAGGAGAAGATAATACAACTGGCTGCAAACTGCAGCAAGGAGAAACTCAGTGATGCAGCAATCTGCAGGCTACCAGAAAGTGCAAGTCAATGCCTACATATCCACAGGGAAAAGACTAGAAACACAATAAATACACAGAGTGGAGACAAAAAATGCTATGTGACTGCATGAATACATGTATATTAGCATATTAAAATAATTAATTCATTTATCGAAATGACATACACCTCCACTTAACTCGGCTGCCTGCTTTTGGCATTATCATCTCTCTAAGCCCTGAGGTACCACTTATTCTTGGGAGATTGCTTAAGCAGTGGATGCTGCCATTCAAAGAAAAAGTAACAGAAATTTAATTTTATGGTGAATCATGGATTAAGTGCCAAGCAGTCCTTACTTAACTTGCAATTAAAGAGAAAAAATTAAATGGGAAAAAAAGGTGACAGGAAGAATTTACAATTTTAGTTAGGAATTTTTCTATGGCAGAATTTCATTTTTTCCACATGGTACATTTCCTAATTGTTCTCTCTTTGTAGAAGAATCTGAAAAACCCTTCATTTAGGCTTGCTTAGAATTCACTTTGTCACCAGAGAAGTCCATCTGACGCTCAAGACTCTGGCACCTTGCCACTTTCTTCATATATGACACTAGACTGGATCATTTCAGCTCTCTCTAACTTAATTTTACACAGAGATCAAGTAAAAATGTATGTTATATGGGAGAAACTATCCTCTGACACCAAGAAAGTGCAAATCCATTAGAAGTCAATGGCCTTCCCTTCACAATCCCCAAAGATCTCTCCCTTTCATGCCTGCACCGGGTACTTACAGGAAGATTATTCAACTGTTGAGACAGCAAGTTCTAGGCAGCATTTATTTTCAAGACTGGCTGTCTCTGTTAAGCACAGCAAACTACTCTCAGAAAAGGATGATTAGTTCAAGTTCAGATCACAGAATTTTTAGAAGTTAACTTCTATACCTGGGTTACTGATGTTCAGAAGTTTGCAGGAGTAGGGGTCTTCTCTGTCCTCCACTGGCACAGCACAACCATGCGCACCTATTATAAACTTCACAAGGACACTAAAATAATTTGGTTTTATTAACACCAGTTCTCTTCCCTCCTCCCTCCATCTTCAATAAACTTATTTCATCACAACAGGATTAAGAATCTGAAACCCTTCAAAATCAGAAATGAGAGTCTGTATGTAGAGCAACCATGTGAATCCCCTCACAGGGGCTCAGGTCCAAACTCACATTAGCGGTTTACATTTCATAACAAGGACACGGGAAGACTGGCAACCAGGAATGAGATTCAAGACAGCCAGCACGCTAAAGAGAAAAAGATCTAAGGCAACACTGAAGGATCACTGAAGATCTCCTTTCCCTGCCTGGCTTTGTTACTTAATTCAAGATTGTTTAAATACTCTGCATTCAAAAGGCAATGAAAAAAATAATAAGAAAAATAACACATAGCATCAAAGGAGAAACAAGTACTCCAGGGTATCCGTTACAATTAAATGTCTTAATTTTGAGTTGTAGCAAAACGACAGGTTGCTCTTCCCATCCCCAGTCATGCTTGTGCCACAGTCAGGAGACAACAAATAGTACGAAGAGCAAAAGGATCCATCTTATCCTAGTCTTTCACCTAAGCAGCTGAATATCCTCCTGGAACTCCATATAAGCTAGGAAAGGTCACATTTTGAGATGACTGAAGTAGTTATGCTTCACTCCAAACTGCATGCTGGCACCAAATTTGTGAATGGCAAATGCCTTTCAATGCAAGGCAGGTATCAAGATGACAATGTTTCCAGGAATGAACTGCAGCAGAACTTTCTCAGCAAGAACAGAGCTCTGTGTAGACTGTCAGGTCTACGCAAGCAATAAGGATGGGTTCTGCAGGTCGCTCACACTGCAGCACTTAGGTTTATTTCCAATTGAACCAGGTGTACCAAAACTTTACAGTGGAGGCCATTATAACAGTTTTTTGTGGTTCTCTAACCAAATGTGATCCTGCCTGCTTTCAAGTATCCTGGATTATGAAGCATTTCAAATTGCATACCAGTCAAAGCATACATTGCAACACAAAAAAAGGGAGTCTTATACATGACTAATGAAGAGTGGCAACTATTTGCAAAAACAAACAGCAGTGAACAGTCAAACAACTGTATTTTATTCCTTGCATAAAAAATAGTTACAGACCAGAACAATAAGTATTCTTAATATATTACTAAACAGATTTAAAAAATTACCAGAGTCCAAGAAGATCACAAATAAAGCAAAAAAAAAAAGGGGAATACTTCCCCCCGCCCGCCCCCCAAAAAAAGAAAAGGATTAAATCAAGATACTTAATCATTACAGTCTTCCTCCCCACCAAAACTTCAAATTACAAAACACTAGAGACAGTCTTCCTCCCCACCAAAACGTCAAATTACAAAACACTAGAGATTACCGTTGGTTCAGTGCAGGATGATGTTTCAGGTGCTTGAACCAAGTGTTCCTTATAACACCACGCAGTTCATGATTGTGTCGAGCTGACAAAACACCTACAATAACATCGTAATGTTTCAGCTTCCACTGAGGAAAGAAGGCCAGTGGACCTAGAAATATAAAGTGACAAAGATTTATTATATGCACATATTACCACAAGCCTGAGTTATAAGCATTAATTAAAATGCATCTCAAAAGCAAAAGTACTGGGAACCTGAAACTCTAAAAACAAGAAGCAGAATTACTGTTGCATCCTTGGTTCAGAATCAGGGAAACATTTTCAACATGCCGAAATCTTCACTAGCAGTCTAGGAAAAATTTACTGCAATGAACTAACTCACTGCAGGTAAGCAAAAGTAAGAAACTGACTCACAAATCAGGCAAGAACATAAGCCTTGGTTTTGACTGGCAGCATCTTCCATTCTTCAAATATTTTTCTGCCTGTCTTATGAGCAAACTACCCCCTGAGAACATGCTCTTGCTGGGCTTCTCTTTCCTATCAGCCACCACAAACCTTGTGGGCAAGACACAAGGTCTTACCGTTCCCTCTGCAAAACTCTTGAGACAGTCTGGGCCTTCTGCTTGCTCACTGATACCTCCTCCAGCATGGTTTATCCTAAACCCTGCAGGCTTGTCATCACTGGTACCAGGGCTTCACTATCAGAACTCACCATTATTCTGCCTAAGGGAGAACAAAACAAAACAGAAAAATACTTAAGCAAGGCCTGTCAGATTCAGAAATATGCCCATTTCCCCCCTTTCTTTTTAACACGGCTAGACCACCTTCCTGCTTCATTATTTCTATCTAGTATGTCAAGGCCTATCGTTTCCAACCTTTTGAAGTTGAACACCACTCTGCCTTCACACGAGGTATTACATCCCTACACAGAGGAATGCTCTGGCTTTATTCATAGCTGGATGTCACCGCCAATACTTGTAATCCATAGTTTGTGCTGCTTTATTTTAGAGATCATGAAAACTGGACTTGATTTCAAGCAAGATTATGACCAGATAGAGACCTGAGAAGCTCTGACAGAGCCTGCAAACAGTCAGGCAAGTAGCTGAAGTGAATTTGTTTAGTTTAATTTATCAGACATTCTAGAGTTGAGAGATTTATATTTAGCTTTAGCAAAGGATTGCTTTCCTCTCAGCTCACTACTTTTTTTTCATTAGGCTGCAGACAAAGAAAACAAATGTAAATGTAAATGTGAGGGCCCTCTAAACTACTGCATACAGCATAGGCAAGATTTTTTAAAATCTAATTTTAAACAGGCCAAAAATATCACCAAGTCTGTATTGTGTACTCCCACTAGAAAGCATTGAATTATAATCCAGATTCTGCCTTCTCTACCAGCATTCCCTTTCTCCACTTTGAAAGTGAGAAGATAGATGGGACTTGTTACAACTGCTCAGTAACCTAGGACCTCGCAGGACCCACCACAAGAACTGCTGTGCCAAATCACACCAGACATCCATCTAGCCTTCTATTCCATCTTCAATGTGCAGCATGCAGTGGAGGGGCCTCGGCCTTGCTCTGCGCTGAATCAACATCAATTTTGCTTTAGGGGCTATTGACAGTGGCTTGCACCTGGCTCCCTAGTCCTAAAGCCAAATAAAACAGTGCTCTGCAATTGATTCTCAGAATAATACAAGAGCAGGGAAAGTAGAGTGATGATTCCACTGGCAAACCTTTCTCAGTCTATTTCCCATTAAATATTTTAGTTCTAAGCACGCAAACAACAATTTTCTAGAAGGTTCCACAGCTATTTAAATGAATCCACAGTGACAACCACTACAAGCTTATCAATAAATTAAGCTGAATATTAACCTATTAAGAGAAGTTTACATCAACTTCTGCTCAGAACAACTTAAAAACCTAAGCAGCAAGCCACTAGTTCCCTTCCTCGTTTTTTCACTGAACTCAACTGTTACATCTCTTATCACAACTACATATTGAATTGGTGGCAAGGTTCAGGAATAAGATTTGTTTGCTGACAGAGCAACAAACCTACTGCCCTGTATAATATCTGAAGAAACTTGTAGATCAAGCATACATTGTTCAATCCAAACACAATTTCAGTTTTCCTTTATGCTGGTAAATACCAACTATCTAGAGGCTCTGTATGTCTTCAGAGGTCATTAAGTAGAAAAGATCTGCCAGGCGACCATGACAGCAGAAGAACACGAGACAGCCACATGTTTATAAGACCACAACATTATGGTAAATTCCTCTGTAGTCTTATAATTCCTTCTCACATATCCCTTTTCTTTCCTTGTTCTTCCGTCTTTTGATTATTCTTTAAACAGCCTCTGCAGCCTTAACCACAAGCTTTCCAATATAAATCTCACAGGAGGACTAACATGTTTGTAAATGCACATGAGGTATTGTTTACACAGATCTGTTTTTTAAAATATCACTTTTAATTAGAAGCAGAGCCATTTCACTAAATCAAAATTCAAGAAAAATAAAACTAAGAGCAGAAGTCTTTGGAGTGACTTGACTCAGAATAGCATAAGTTGGCTTAAATCAATTTTAAAAAAACAAACCTAAAAATAAACTACTCAAATCACATGAATGAATAAAGCTTTTCCTTATGAACCATTCACATGGGAACAACATTAATGTCACAGATGCTTCAGAATTAATATCCTACTGCTTTTAGAACAGACAGCTCTACTGTCTTAGGCCACCTTCAGGCTTAGTAAGGTAGCATTACAGCCACCTGTAGTGAGAAGAATGTCTTCTCTGACCCAAGGGTTATCCCATTTTACTTTTAAAACCACTACAAATATGGAAAAAAAAAAAAAAAAAAGGAAAGTTTACCTTCACAAAAACCTATTGAATTAAGCTCTATGTTAGCAAAGGTTTCTACTTCCTATGGAAAAAGTAGGAATAATGATAAACTTTCCTGAAAGAGATTTGTATGTCTCTCCCTGAACTAGCACTATTAAATAAATAGGAGATAAAGTGAGAGGCACTGGGGGAAAAAAGACAACTAAGGCTATTATTAATTTGTAAAGATAAATCAGATATGTGCAGATATATGCTCTGATACAGCATAACTCAAGAGAAAACACTGCTGACTTCCAAGTCAATAATGACCATTTATACAAGCAATCAATACTTGCCATTGGGGACCAAACTTATTTATCTTGTGTTCTATTTTTGTGCATTCTTAGGCCAAAATTTTAAGTATTGGTAGTAGTTATAACTAATTATAATAATATTTTAAATTATAGTAATAATTTAAAAATACATACTATATTGTTCTTACCTTGAACTGGTTGTGCAAGATAGTTAAGCCTTGAAATTTTCCAATATCAAAGACAAAAAAAACCCCTGTATATTTTGTAGTTTGTGAAGGGGGAGGGAGGGAAATATAAAGAAAAAAGCAACATATCACATTCCACGATAAGCCCTAAATGTTTTGCTAACCAAAGGGATGCAGAAGGAGAGGAAACCTTTCCAACTGAAAGGTCACTCCATCACTAGTTTCCTTGCTTTTCAGTTCTTACTGTCTTAAAGCTGCATCTTGGTTGCATCAGACAGCCCAAGACATCTCAGAAAAACATGTATAGCCAAATGTGCAATGCCTACCCTACACTCTTTTAGCATCAGGAACAAAATTGCTTTCACTTTGCTGTTTTGCTTTAGGCTGTTAACCCACAGCAAAAGCTACAAAAACACAAAAGGAAGCAGTTCTCCCTCAGCTGCTGAGATCCCTTTAACTCTGTACAGCAACTGTAAGGGTACTTCTGTCAGTTCTGAGACTATTGAAGTCCAGTCTGCCAGAGTCTTGTGTCACATAGTTAATAACAAGCTCCTACTGAAGCCTTCTTGGGCTGTGATATTTGTAAGGACAGGCTCCCACACAATTCTCTGATATATGACCATACATGTATTTCTATTAATACAGTTTTTCACATCAGTATGAGCTGCAGTAAGCTTTCACAGAATTCTTGGTCACCAATTTTCATGAAACAGACCTCCACCTGTCTGTCAAGCTTGACTGAGAACTACCAACAGATCAAAGTTAGGGAGAGACACAGGAAAAGTTTAAAAAGTTCATATATAAAGCACAAAGCTGTGCCCTTAGGAGACAAGGCTAAAGATGTAGAGGTGTGTCTCCTGTTGAGTTGGCCATGGAAAGAGGTCACTGCTGACAGGCAGTCTGCTGGCCCTAGTCAGATTCTAACCACCTCAGCAACAGTCAGCAGCTCTTTAAATTCTCCAGAATCCCAAATGACAAAGATTAACATGCATCTCTTCTTCCTGTGAGACTGATTCTCAAGTAAAATGTCAAGTTAAACTGCTAATTATATTTACTGTCATTATAAGGACATGAAAAGATTGAGAGATCATTTAGCTTGATTTTGTCAACAAACAAGGTAAATATGATCTTGCTGCACGTCTCTACTGATGACTCCCCTACCAACTACTAAATTTGCCACACATTTTCAGTCAAGTTTGACATATTGTGCAGTCCCCAAAGCAATTAGTTCCCTCATTTCATGGAACTGGACAGGAAAGAGAAGACTCATTGCTAGTGCCCGCACTAAGAAACACAGCAGTGTAGGCTTACCCGTGCTATCAGGCACCAGAGAACCTCTGCTGGAGACTGCTAAAGTAAATGAGCTCTACAGAAGGCTGGGCTTTGTATCTTCTGCTACCCATGCAGCTACTTTTTTTTTTTTTTCTCTTTTTAAATAATCAGCAAATGAAACTAAGTAGGTCACGCAGAAGTTATTTAGCATATTCTCAACTAATCCACTTCTTAAAATGAGACTAAAAAGGAACACCCCCCCCTTCCAACCCATCTCCCACATTCCAGGTTATCATCTCTGCCTATTCTTGCAACTTTGCAGCCATATTCTTGTTTAATGCCTTTTTCTTCTGTGCTGCTTTGTGAAAGATTCAAAATAACATGAAGGAGCGAATTAACTGGATATAAGAGATTTGTATTCACAGAATGCTGACGTGTAGAAAAAGAACAAGCCAAAGAGCAAAAGCAGCTCTTTCCCCCCCCTCTCTAATCTTCTTCACTTAAAGTAATCTGCTATAGCTCATCTGCATTACACAATTTTCTGCAGAGCTGCACAACCCCCCTGCAGTACCTATTTTATACCAAAGCTAAAAATCAACAAGATGTGCACCCCTGGTTTCTGCAGAAGCACAGTACTCCTTGACAGAGACAAGTCTTCAGACAAACTTTTAAACAAGCTTTACAGATTCAAAGAGGGGAACATGTCTAGGCAGAGGTTTTTTTGGTTGTTTTTATTTGTTTTGGGTTGGGTTTTGTTGTTGTTGTTGGTTTTGCTTTTTTGTTTTTGTTTTTTTTAACGTCAATAGCATTCTCTTAAAGAAATGGGACAGCAGGGTCCTTCTGAGTTGCGAAGTGACAGTAGTAATACTGGTGGGATGATGGTGCTCTAAATACCATTAATGATACAGCACTTGCACACTTCTAGACAAATCTGGGAACAGTGGCCAAAGCCTGAGAAGCATAGACACAAAAGGAATAAAGAAGATCCTTTTTTGGAATACTGAAACTGATGGCCGCCCCTCCTTTTTTTTTTTTTTTTTGGAGCGGGGCGGGGCAGCATGAAAGGAAAGAGAGGGAGAGCACAGCACCTTCATCCTTTCAAAGTAGTTATCAATCCCTGATGCCATCGAACAAAAACCTGCTCCCAGGAAAGGCTACCTGCTCCTTTCTGGCTGTTCTACTCCATGGGTCATTTAGAAGACAACTGGTGAAAACCTTCCTTCAGCCATAAGCCCTTCTCTCCAACTCTGACAGAACTGGTACTCTCTCTGTCTGCTCCAATGCCAAAACACAAAAATGCAACTCCAGTGCTGCTTGTTAGTACTTTGCAATGTCTTAGACATCAGTCCACAGAATAACTGCAAACTAAAAAATCCCAATTCATTTGGAAAATACCATCAGCTTTATTGCAGATTCTTTGTCAATTATTTCATGCCCATCAAAGGTGAGGGGATTGGTTGTGTTGCAGATGGCCCATCCCTAGAAAACAATGTTATAGTAAGATCTCATAGATGAAAGCTGGGGAACAACTGGCATTTTAGGCAGAACTGCACAGTTCCTAGCAATGCCAAACCTGATCCATTGATGCAAAATTTCAACTTCCATGGCCACCAGCCTATTAGTCTTTACATGCCTATAAAAGATGAAATAACTTTGTGACCAAGCATACTACTCCATGACAGACAGGCTTAACAGATTTCAGACCACATCTTTTCTTAAGAAAGTATCCCATTTTGGCAGAATTCCTCCTTATAGAGGACAACATCACTCGTAACAAAACGTAGAAACAACCCCTGGGGTTATTTCAATACTGAAAAGCTAAAATCAGATTAAGGTCTCCCTCCTTATCTCTCACCTGTCAAGTACACAGGGCTAGTCCATGAGGGGGATGGCCCTAACCCTTCCAGGCAGATCACTAAACACCAGCCTAACCAGCCCTGTATACAGTTCCAGTAGGCCAGTGCCTAAAGAAGTACGTGCTGAACCACAGGACAACAGATGGCATACAAGCAGTTTCTATAAAATGGTGGGTTTTAATCTGTTGCATAATTATTCACTAGTAAAGGATTGACTCTAGCAAAACCAAAAGGGCCAATTCTTAGCTGCCACACACCCCCAGAAATGTAACAGGAATAACATCTTAAAGGGCATTAGCATCAGCAAAGTAGCAGCATATTACATTGAATGTGTGGGGCTTTACGATCAGGCACTGTAACTGAAGCCCTACAGTGAGTAATTTCCGACTCAATAAGACTTGTGCCATCAGTTAAAACACACAATTAGCAATGAATCCACCTGGAGTGCTAAAAGCAGGTCTGTCTGTTCTTTCTCAAGTTTCTGAGGTCGTTTTATAATTAGCATTTATCTAAGATTTTTACAAAAATTAACTAAAGCTTCCTACCCACAAACTTCCTTTGGATAGCACTTGTTTGTAATCAGTTAGTCAAGGACTTCAATTAAACTTAAAAGCATGTTCTTGCATGAGTCTTGCTCAGAAATGTGAATCACAGTCCCAGTAACCGATGAACAAGAAAGCAGGGAGCCACCAAAGTCAGGACACTGAAGCAAAGGCCAGTGACTCTGGTCTCAGAAATGATCCTATTTTTTTCCAGTGAATGAGTACTGCCTCCAAGAAGTGTACTCTATCTTCTGTGACACCAAGGTGAAAGTGATCACGAACACAGAGACAGAATACTGCACAGGGAGAGACACAACTGAGGGCCAAAGCATGCAGGCAGACTACAGGCCTTTCACGTGGGGCAGTTAAGAAGGCGGCTTTATTAAAGGAGGTACTTCCAACAGAGGAAGAGAAGTAGATGGAATGAGTGAAGACTGAACACTGTTTACATTTTAAAGTCATCTAACCTATGGACAACATAAATTAACTGCTTCCCAGAAATGGAAAGCCTGTTCTGCCAGTAGAAATACCAGATTTGCTCATCTTAAGAAAACAAAGGTTTAGAACAGATACCTTTGATCTTTATGGTTACATGATGGAGGTGTACTTGAAGGAGGAGAAAGACTCTTCACTGAAAGGCTTAGGAACAAAAGGTCATAAACCAGTTGCAAGTTTAGGCCAGAAATGTGAAAACATTTCTAATCAGGGCAACAAGCTTCTGGACAGCCTCTTCCTAAGACTGTTAGGAATCCAAATGAACAAACAAAAAGCCACCCCAATCCTTCACTAAATAAATGTGGGCTGCCGTTTTAAGATGGAGATCAAGAGTTGCTTATTAGAAAAAGTAAGCAGAATCGATGGCTGGAGATTTCTATTCCAGTCTTGTGTTAGCAAGTCAATGATGTCAAGGTAAATAATCACTAAAACAGGTTATCAACTTTTTAACAAGTTTCCATTTGTGTGCATGCGCACAATGCCTATTCAGAGGGAAACTAAACTCCTCAAAAAAAAAAAAAAAAAAAAACAACTGCTGTTCACTCTGCCTTTGACCTTCACTGGTAGCTAATTTTGCAACTGTTGAGAAACTACACAACTATTGAGACACACAGATATTACACAGAAATACTAAAGAACACACAAATAATATATTTTTATATCATAGCTATTGTTAAACACTGGCCCATGATCAGACTTAGTTTTTATTCATACCAGTGATTCCAAGTAGTAGGTAATAAAGAGCAGCTGGAGCAGCAGACAAGGAAAAAAAAAATACCCAATAATAAAATGTAACAAGATTAGCTTTATCAGGCAGTAGCAGATCCTCTTAAACAGTTTCAGATTCAAGAAGCTTTTTAATAAGTTGAGACATTTCTTACTCCTGTATACAAATTCATTAATGTTTCTAAAACACTCTGAAAAATTAAAAAATATAACACAGAACATATCAGAGATAAAGGAGGTCCCTTAGCTCATCCTTCTTTCCTCTGCCAAGGAAGCCGTACCTCCAGAGTGTACAATTCACAGTACTTTGAAGGCTGAGAGGCAGACTCTTCCTTAAATTATCATGCAAGGATCAGGTCTACAAAGAGACAGCACATATGCAGTATCGAGGACTTTCCTACAGAAGATGGAAGTTCTCTTTTTATAAGAGGCATCAGTTTTTCTCTCCTCAGTGTGAGCATGTTACTCAATAGGTTACACCTAAATAACCCTCGCACAAACAAAATGCACACTTACTCTTTCAGTATTAAAAAAAACCACATTTTTTTGTAATCCTACTTTATCCTACATTATCCAGTGCAACACAGTTTCACAGCAAACACAAACCAATAATAACTGCTTGAAACAGTAAATCTCTGAAGAACAAAGCTTCTTCCCTCCCTCTCCAACTAAGAAACTTCTGGATTTTCTTTAGAAGGGTTTGTTATTGCAAAACAAATTTCTGCAGGAAAGGTCATCACGAGATTCCACATTGCCACTTCCAACTCCAAATTCATGCAGCGAAGTTACAACAGCAGCACCACGACAGATGAGGAACAAAACCAACCAGACAATTCAAATGCACTTCAGGCTGACAACCAGAACTCCCGTTCTTTTAAAATTCAAGCGTGCAGTGGCCAGAATACAGACAGAAACACCTCCATACAGTTCGGCGGCCTTCAGACTATGCAAATGCACTGACCTTGCTCTTTTTACACTTGCATTATTAATTACCATTGGAAACCAGCAGACACTCATTTCCTCACAAGGAACAGGTACCAGTCTCAAAGTGTGGCTTTGTTAGTGAACAGGCTACTGGGGCACTAAACAGAGTCCTATGCAGCTGTCAAGTAAAAAAAAAAAAAAGCACTTTTCCCTATCATTTTTTTAGATGTCCCATAGAGTATTAGCGTTCTCAAACAGCACCTGTGGATAGCTGACAGAAGTTTCTGTTCCAACAGATGCCTGTTTCTACCAGGCATGCGAATTTGCGGCCTGAAAACTACAACTCCTTTTACGAGGAGCGCAGCGTAAGCCCTTCGGGGTCTGATTTCGCTTGGGTTGGATCATACCCCACCCGAGGAACAGCTTTTCGCACCGCAGGGCTTTTAAGGACCGCTGTGGCAAACACGGGGCACCGCGCAAAGAGCTGTGCCCAGGAGCGGGCACGCCGCGACACCAGCCAGGTCGGTGGGAATTCCTTCCCCACGCCCCTCAGCGGGAGCGGGAGGGCACCCGTGGCGCAAGGAGGCGGTTCAGAAGGGGGCTGCCGCCCCACAGCAAGGCGCGACGCACCCTCGGTACCTCCCGTTTCAGTCGCAGCGCCGGCGCTGCTCGCCACAGCTCCACGGAAGGAGCGGTTACCTCCCGAGGAACCCACGCAGGCACTCCGGGCGCTCTCCCCCGCCGGGCTGCCCGCCCCGGCCCGGCAGAAGCGCTGCCCGCAGACGCAGAAACGCCGGCGCTGCAGCGGGGAGGGCGGCCCCGACCCCGCTACACCCACCCAACGCCCCTTCCCCGCGCGGCCCCCCCCCGCCCCCCCGGCCCCGGTAAGCGCCCCAGCCGCCCGCCAGCCCCTCCTCAGCGGGCTCCCGGGGGTGGGGGAAGCCCTGCCCGCCCGGGGTGCCCCCGCCGCCCGCCCCTTCCCTACCTGCCGGGTGCCTCCCGGGGCCGCCGGGGCAGCTGAGCAGCAGCCAGAGGTGCAGCGCGACCCCGAGCGCACAGGGGCACAGCAGCACCAGCCAGTTGCGCATTGGCCGCCGCAGCCAGCCCCTTCCCTGCCGCGCCGGCCTCTCCCAGCGACGCCGGGGCGACGGGCCGACTCGGCCGCCCGCGGCTCCTCCCCGCGCCGCCGCCGCCCGGCCGGGCCGGGCTCCGCTGCCCCGCGGCCGCCGGGAGCTGCAGTCCCGCCCCGGCCCCGGCGGGCGGCGGCGGCGCGGGCGGCGGCGGCGGCGGCCGCCTACAGCCCCCACAATGCCGCGGGGCGGCCCCGGCGGGCTGAGGCCAGCGGGGCCGGGTCCGCCGCGCGCGGCGGGGGCCGCAGAGCTGAACGGGGCGCCCGCCCCCGCGGGGCAGCGCCGGGAAAGCGCGGCTTTTTACCTCACGTTTTACATGGCGGGGAAGCGTAGACGTCGGGGGCGGGGGGGTGTCGCCGGGGGCGGTGGCAGCACGTTATCCTTGCAGATCGCTCCCAGCTGGGGAGCCCCGGGGCTTCCCCTGCCACCGCCCGGGCCGCTCTCGGGCCCCAGGCCCTGGCCCCCGCGTCGCTGCATCGCACCCCGGGGCCTGGGGTCTGAGGCGCGGGGCCGCGGCTGCGGGGAAGCCCTTCGCTGGTTGGTCGCTGTTTCTGCGACCCGGCGATTATCTGCCCCTTCAAAAAGGCGTTGGATAGTGGCACAAGTGCTTTCCAGAACAATCCTCTACTCGTCCGGTGATGAGGAGGGAGTGCTTCGCGTTGGCAAGGAACTGCAACGGCATTGCAAACTGTTTCTAGCGTATTTTATTCCAGCAAGGATTGTGTTACCTGTCTGAAATCCCGAAGGGGATGTTAGACAATCAAAGTGTCCTTAACTGCGACTGGATCTTGGCCAAGAATCAATGGTAGTCTTCTCGTTCCTGCAGAAGTATGTTGCAAGATGTTAATAATCCAAGCCCAGCTTCACATTTTACCTACAGCTACCACTTTGAGAAGTTGGTTACCTACAGACTGACCCGCCAAGAGGGCAGCCGCCTGCAGAATGCTATGCTGACTAAAGAGGTTTACACGGATGGATGTTTACATAGATGGAGGAGAGCGTAAGATTATCAACACCTTGAGAAGTTAGTTACTTGTCTCTGGTCCCTCTGAACACAGATAACGAAGATAAATGTTTCCTTGCACTTCGGCAGCGTGAATCTACCTGAAAAAGCGATGTGAATAGATAAGCAGAGGCTCCTCATAAATTAAGGTATAAACTAGAAGTTCATGAATAATAGCCATAAGCTTAAATGAGCACTTACTGATGCTATTCTATTAGAAACACATAAGTTAGTAATAGAACCTGATACATATGAAACATAATTGAAATAAAGGATTGAGGTTTTGTGAAAAGAAGACTAAAATCTGTTTTTTAAAATCCCCAAGCCGTGAAGAGTGACTGGAAAATGCTTAAAGTCCTTTCAAACAGCTTAATTGAGATTCATTTTTCATCAACTGGAGTGAGAGATCAGAAGGAAAACCTTTATATATTTGGTTTAAACAGCAAAAGGAAAATGTGTTGGAAATACATCAACTTTAGTTTGTTTGCATACATGCACAAATTTAATATGCAATCGAGTGTGTACTTGTCAGCAAATAAAAATACTAGGGAAAGCATTTACATAAAAAGTGCTATTGTTAGTAATCACTATTTAAATTTGACTTGCTTTTCAGTAGGTTCAACTGCAGAAATAAAAACTGGTCCAGCTGCTAATATTACTCTACATTTCCCTATATTCCCTGTAGTCAATGTTAGGTTCTTTCCCCAGGCCAGGTGAACTCATGGGGATCAATCTTAGAAACATGTCTGGGAGTGATTACTTCCTTGCAGATGAAACAGAGGACACAATTCCTTAATATCTTGCTTTTTCCATAGTTCCATAGTTTCCACAATTTCATAATACTATGTTCATGGATAAAGGACTACATAATGTACAAAACGGGACAAATCTGGTTCTCCACATTGCAGAAACAGGGTATCCTGGTCAAAAGGATAATGTACATGCATTTTTGTTAGTCATGTAAGAAATGGTTAAAAATACAGTTTTGTTGTAGAGGACTGGCCTTCTCCACTTTCTATCACACTCTCTGCAAGATTTCCAAAGCCAAAGACTTACCCTAAGTCTCCCAACTTCATCACCTGTAGAAGATGTAAGCAGTGGCACTTCTCACGTTGTGTATGACACTGAAAGCGTGCACCTGTGTGTACAGAGTGACATGATCAGACCTAACCATTAGCCTGGTTTTCAGAAGTTCCCATTAGCAAAGCAGTTTCCATTTGCATTCATGAGGGCTTTATGAGGACTAGTATTTTGGGGAAGCAAGATGAAACTGGAGTGCCTAAAGATGGATTTGAGGCACCGAGTTTTAGGCATGCTTTTTCAAAAGTCTTGGCCTGTATAAAAATGAGACTTACCCAGAGATTTTAGAATCATGAATATATATAGTATGAAAAGACAAATAGATCTGGAATATAACTTCTAGATAATGTTAAATTATTCTCATGGAAGACAGAAAATTTTTATTTGGGTTATTGCAATTCTACGTGTCATTTGTTCAAAACCACACCATTTTCATTTGGTGCTTTCTGGGCAGATTTACTCTTCTGACTTTACAGACTCAGGTGGTACCTCTGGCACACAAAGTATAGTACAGGCACAACATGTTGGGTATAAGAGCTGGAGATAGAAGAGAGAAATTTTAGCCCCTGGGCTGCTTGCAAACTTAAGATGCTTCTGTTAAATTTGCATAATGTCTCTGGGTAAGCATCTCCTGTCTGACGCAGGGAAGACATGATGGATACCAGAGCTGTAGTGATGAACCACAGCTAGCCAGTCCGCAGCATTCAGTTTTTTAATGTTTGTTCGCCTAATTATTACTGAGTGGGTGACTGGGATTTTTTTTTTTTTAGGACACTAGCAGCCGATAAGAACAAGAAGCAGGGTAGAGCTGCATATGTTTTAACAGAGTTCATCCCCAGAGGGTTGTGTGTTTTATTGATCTCTGTGTGCTCCATGTGAAAGCAGAGGAAGGGCTGATGAGAGATTCCATTTTAGGGATTCGGGGCTTAACTTTCTCCACACCTTGCAGTAATACTGATACATTTCACAAGATCATCATGCCTTCAGTTATTTAAAGAAAAAATATTAAAAGAGATTACAAATCAGCATACTGAGGATTTTATTAGAGTTTAAAGGGTTGTAAATTTCCATGCCAAGACTGTGTCTTATTTTTTTTCCGGTGTTCGTAACCTAAACAGATTTACTGTCTGTACTGAGGAATTATCAATCCTTTCCTTACCTTCCTTAGGATGTTTAGAAGAAATAGATTTTGCTTATTTTCCCAAGCAGAAGAGATGTCTCTGTGCCTCCCCTTCCAGCTTTCTGATCCGGATGACGTGCAGATGCGGAGGAGTTCCCAGACTCCTCAGCTTGGGCTATTAATGCTGTCAGTGTCATTGGGGTCTCCCGAGGACAGACAAAGGAATCCTGCAAAAACTGATCTCTGGAACACAGGCTGTCTTGCTGACGGGCCTGCCAGCTCATATCATTAGCATCAGCAAAGAAAAGTTGATGGTATGTGGCCAGGCAACGCTAAGGACTGTGATGGACAGGCGTGAAGAGAGACGCTATTAGAAAGCTTTGGGCAGTACACGGCGTGCAGCCAGTGTGGTGTGAGGCCCGTGCTCATTTGTACACTGAATGGAGGCAAGAATCTAACAAGATTTTGCTCATGGCTATCTTACTTAATGGTGTCTTAAGAGAGACTTACTAGTCATTTGAAAAAAATCCAGATAGGGTATGACTACTAATTGTACTCTACGTTCTCTTTCATTGAGAGATTCAAGGAACTAAAAAGGTCAAGGAGGCAGTATTTCCTTTAGAGAAACCACATTGATTTGACTCTTTCCATCACAGTGGTTAAATGCTTCAGGACATAGTTGCAATGGAACGTAGTCTTGCATCCCCTTCATACCAGTTGATCATCAACCAGCCCATAGCTGGGATCTGTAAGAAGCTCTGAACCTAGAGGACTATGGAGTGTCATTAAGCTGCACTGAATTTTCTTTTTTGTTAAGGCTGCCCAGTTCTTCCCAGTTGAAAAATGGACTCTCTTGAAGCTATTCCACATTTTATTTCTTTGGGCTGAGGGTTGTAGTGACAATGACCTGTTTCACACTGCAACATTTGGTAAGTTCCAGCTAAAATAATTTAATAATTTATGAAAAAATAGAATAGAATAGAATAGAATAGAATAGAATAGAATAGAATAGAATAGAATAGAATAGAATAGAATAGAATATTTCAGTTGGAAGGGACCTACAACAATCACCTAGTCCAACTGCCTGACCATTTCAGGGCTGACCAAAAGTTAAACACATTGCTGAGGGCATTGTCCAAATGTCTCTTCAACACTGACAGGCTTGGGGCATCAACCACCTCTCTAGGAAGCCTGTGCCAGTCTCTGACCACCCTCTCAGTGAAGAAATGCTTCCTAATGACCAGTCTGAACCTCCCCTGCCACAGCTTTGAACCATTCCCACTAATGGGGGGAATGAGCTCAGCACCTCCCCACCACATCCCCTCCCCAGGAAGCTGCAGAGCGCCGTGAGGTCGCCCCTCGGCCTCCTCCTCTCCAAACTTGCCCAGAGTCTTCAGCCTCTTCTCACGGGACAGGCCTTCCAGCCCCTTCACCAGCTTGGTTGCCCTCCTCTGGATGCATGCAAGGACCCTCACACCCTTCTTAAATCGTGGGGCCCAGCACTGCACACAGCACTCGAGGTGAGGCCGCACCAACGCCGAGTACAGCGGGATGATCCCCTTTTTCCCAGCTGGTTTCGCTGCGTTTGATGCGCCCCGGGACGCGGTTTCCCCCCGGCTGCCAGGGCTCACGGCCGACTCGTATCGGGCTGCTGCCACCCAGCACCCCCAGATCCCTTTCTGCAGGGCTGCTCGACAGCCACTGCTCTCCTAATTCATACTTCTGCCTGGCGTTACTCCATCCTAGGTGCACAGTCCAACTTATTAAATTTCATCGCGTTAATCGTTGCCCAGTGTTCCAATCTGTCGATTCCTCTGCAAGGCCTCCTGTCCCTCAAGAGAGTCAACAGCACCTCCCAGTCTGGTATCACCAG